CTTTTATGCTTCAAAATTTTTATTAATCAGTTTTTCATTATAAAAGTAATGTGAGCAGAGTTCAGATAATTTGGAAGGAGGAGAAAAAAGTCACCAGTTATTTCCCTGTCCAACATAAGTGAGTAAAAATTGTGATTTCTAGAGGAAAGAGACAAAACCTCCAGATAAGTAATAGAAAATGGCCTTGCGACGCTGCAGCCTAGTTCTCTAGGATCACAGTTGCAGTGGAACCAATATATTGTGGGAAATCTTTGACTTCTCTTGAGGCAAAAGGGAGTCAGGAAATGAATAAAAGGATCCAATTCCAGAGCCCAGATGCTCATTTACTATGAAGTTTTTTGTAACCAAGCTTACAAAGTAATTCCTAAAGTAAGAATTGGAATGTAAGTGATAATGATATAGTATAGTTCCAAATTTTTATTAAGTTATGTATTCGTTTTTTATATATATATATATATTTTAAAATAGACTAAAAATCTCATCCTGCCTTAAATTAACTTATCTTTTAAATTAGAAACATGAGGAGTCGTCACCTCACTGAAGATGTATATTATGAAAGGCGCTCGGGCATGTCTCCAGCAGGGCAGGAGTATGAATATGTGGACTGAGCACCATAGTTTTTGGAGAATTAGACATGGTTATTAACTTGCACAGGGCTTGAAAGTCCACAAAACACACTCATAATAACCATTGCCTTTGCTTCTCCTGCAGACGTTGTGAAATGAGAGCACTTCAAAGATAAGACTAGGGACTCAGGGAAGTTAAGGGGCACTGTGAAGGTCACAAGGCTGGAGAATGGCTTGGCTGACTTCTAATTTCCAGTCCAGGAATCTTTTCATTAATTACATCATGCTGTACTTGAGGGGATGCTATGCTGATGAGCCTCTTGCAGAATACGGGAGTGCCTTTTTTTTTTTGAGACAGAGTCTTACTCTGTCGCCAGACTGGAGTGCAGTGGCACGATCTCAGCTCACTGCAGCCTCTGCAGTGGTTGGGATTACAGGTGTGGGCCATCATGCCCAGCTAAGTTTTGTATTTTGAGTGGAGTCAGGGTTTCACCATGTTGGCCAGGCTGATCTGGAGCTCCTGACCTCATGATCCACCCACCTCAGCCTCCCAAAATGCTGGGATTACAGGCATGAGCCACCGCACCTGACTATACTGGCCTGTTTTTAAATAGCCTTGCTCATCATTCCAGTCTGGTTGGACAGGTGTGGTGAGCCTATTTCTAGTGCACGTGGTAGGTGTGGGTAGCTACTTTAGGTTCTTAATCTAAGGAGGTAGAATGGTGAGCATCTGTTTTAGGAAGAGGAGAGTAGCCTGAGAGTGGTCTCCCAGTGTGTCTGATGTGTGCTAGAGTTTGAGAACCATGGAGTCAAAGCAGTCATAGGAAGGCATTCTTGGAGAGTATTTCAGAATTCAGATTTGAAGTGATAAGAGTCTCAGTTAATGTGATGGCAGTGGAAATGAAGAAGAACGTGTGTGTCTGAGAGATAACTTGACAGAAGTTTTGACCATGGGGAAAGTTGCTGTCCTGGTCATTCCTTACAGAACACATGGTAGCCCTAGTGTTCTGCAGAGGAGTGTTAATTCCAGGTGAGCATCATCGTAAACCACTCGGAAGAGCTGAGTATACCGTGTTCAGAGGTGCTGAGCTCCCACTTTGTGTATCTAAGTGGGGGTGTGTATAGTGTATCCTCCCAGGTGACAGTGTGGCCAGCTGAGATGCAGAGGTGGATGTTTGGCAAGAGGACTAGTATCTGTTCACAGTCTGTTTCCTGGTGATGAAGGATGAGCTGTAACCTTAGAGAGAATTGGTGGGAGGTAAAATGGGAACAGCTAATATTTGAAGGGAAGGGATGCTGAGAAAAGAGTGAGGATTTCTGAGCCAGTGTATTTCCTTTTGTTCAAAGAATAAAATTCATCCTCTCCGCCACTATGGTTTCTGGCTTTTGCCTGTTTTCTGTCCTCATTTTCTTTCATTCTCTGCCTTGCTCATCACGTTCCCAGTTTAGAATGCCCCCTCTGCCCTCAACCTAGATATTCCCATGGCTGGCTCCATTATATGGCGATTGGATGTCAGCTTTTTGGAGAGCTTTTCCTGACCATCCTCATTAATGTTGGGCCTTCTCCCCACCCCTGGCTCCCCCAAAACCTAGGTTCTGTTCCAAACCACTTATCCCAATCAGGGATGACCCTGGTCAGTTCTTGGTCTGCTTGTGCAAATCTGCCCTCCCTTCTCCAGTAGAACGAAAGCTCTTTGAGAGCCTGGGATCCTGTGTGTCTTGTTCATTGCTGTAATTGCCAGCACCCAGAAGAGTACCTGGCACATATTAGCGTAAATATTAGTTGAAAGGACTCTAGGTAAAGATTTGATGAGGGGGAGCAGAGGTAGGCAATGGGGAAAGAAATGGGTCTATAGACCCCAGGCAACACTTGATGACTAACCTGTGCTGGACGGTAGAGATGAGACAGGATAAATTCAAGAGACGTTCAGGAGGTAACGCTGACAAAATTTGGTTATGGACTGGTACAGGAGGTATCAGGCAACTTTCTTGTGAAAAATCTTGCTGTGAGAGGTTTGTGAACTCCTAGCATTTTTATTTGATCTCTTCGTTCACTGGAAACTTAAGGGCAAAGCAATTCTTAGCCCTCCGTTAAGAGCTTGCCTTGGTTCTACTCCATCCTAGAGGAGGTGTCTCAAACTCTAGGCATGAAGAAGTCTCTGTTTCTACTCAGAACAGTTGTATCCGCCCATTCACCACTCAGCAATATTTTTTGAGCATGTAATATGTTCTGGGTATTGTCCAAGGCACTGGTGCCCAGGAATGACTAAAACAACCTCCTTGCATTTATGTTCTAGAGAGGGAAGACAGACAAGCATGTCTACAAATGCTACACGCACAAAATACTTTTGGATGGTAATAATGGTGGAAGGAAAAACAGTGAGACAGGATGGGAGGGGGTCAGCCAGGCTGCTCTGCATTAGCTGAGATCTGAATAACAAGAAGGAGCCACGAGAAGACCTGCGAGGGGAAGGTGTTCTGGCATTGCCCTCGGAACCTACTCCTGCTAGAGGAGTCACTGAAGGGGCACTTTGCTTTCATGTCTTAAAGAATGAAATTAAAGAGGTTGGTGGGATGGAAACTCAACTTCAAATACTTATCAAGTTTATTTATTTATTTTTATTTCATTTCATTTATTTATTTAGTTAGTTTTTGAGACAGCATCTTGCTCTGTTGCCCAGCTGGAGTGCAGCGGCATGGTCTTGGCTCATTGCAACCTCTACCTTCCAGGTTCAAGCAGTTCTCCTGCCTCAGCCTCCTGAGTAGCTGGGATTATAGGAGTGCAACACCACGCCCAGCCCAGCTAATTTTTGTATTTTTAGTTGAGATGGGGTTTCACCATGTTGGCCAGGCTGGTCTCAAACTCCTGACCTCAAATGATCCGCCTGCTTTGGCCTCCCAAAGTGCTGGGATTAGAGGTGTGAGCCACCGCACCTGGCCCATTTTATTTATTTATTTTTTTGAGATACAGTTTCGCTCCCGTTGCCCAGGCTGGAGTGCAATGGTGCAATCTCGGCTCACTGCTCCTCTGACTCTGGGGTTCACGTGATTCTCCTGCCTCAGCCTCCTGAGTAGCTGGGATTACAGGCATGTGCCACCACACTCTGCTAGTTTTGTATTTTTAATAGAGATGGGGTTTCACCATGCTGGTCAGGCTGGTCTCAAACTCCTGACCTCAAGTGATTCACCTGCCTCGGCCCCCAAAGTGCTGTAATCAGTCACCATGCCCGGCCCCATTTTATTTTTTTGAGACAAGGTGTCTATCGCTCAGACTAGAGTACAGTGGCATGATCATGGCTCACTGCACCACAAACTGCTGAGCTCAAGCGACCCTCCCACCGCAATACCTGTGGCTGGGATTACAGGCACACACCACATGCCTGGCTTTTGAAAAAAACTTTTTTATAGAGACGAGTGCTCACTCTGTGGCCCAGGCTGGTCTTGAACTCCGGGCCTCAAGTATTCCTCCTGTCTCCGTCTCCTGAAGTGCTGGGCATGAGCCAAACATGCCTGCTGGTTTATTTCTTATCAGCATTTTTGTTTACCAGATCATCCTACTGCTCATTTACTTACTGAAATATTGCCCTTTTACAGGTCGTTACACAAAACATTTTAGAGGTGGCTTTAAAGAACAAAATTTCTCTCAATCATAAGTGATTAATATAATTTTGAAAAAAGGATAAAATCATGACTCATATAGATACAAAAATGAACATGTTAAGGATTTTATTTAATCACTGATTAATTATTAATTATAGATGAGGACATTTGGCAGATGTTATAACAGATTCAAAGGAGAAATCAAAACAGAACAAATTCCTGTGAAGTAAAGTGTTGTTGAAATTAATGTGCAAATCCAGGAAAACTAACTTATTCCACAGCTGGGGAGGGAAGTTAGTTGAACCTCTACTGGCCAGGCAAAATTAACACGCCTATAGACAACAGTTATTTTGCACTGCTATTAGTTATCTGCAATTTACAGAGTTGTAAGCTCCCTGGGAATCAGAATCTAATTACCTGTAGAGATCTCCTCCGGCGTCTCGGCAGTGCATGGTTTTCTAGTGAAGCAGTTTTTTTCCCATGTATAACCAGACTAAAATAAAATAGTCTTCCCCTCCTCCATGTACAAAAGTGTGGAATTCCTACCCTTACGGTCTTTGAAGCAGTGGGGAAGGGAACTATCATTTATTTAGCGCCTACTGTGAGCAGCATTTGTCAGTTTACCTCATCTTCACAGCAGCCCCACAAAGTAGGTGTTGGTCTTCGCGTTTTGCAGATAAGAAAATTGAGACTCAGGGATCTTATAGACAGTAAACAGCAAAGTTAGACTTCCAGCCTGTCCTGTCTCCAGAATCCACATACACACACTCCCTGGGGACAACTTGTTGATGGTAAAACTACAGAAATTCTCTGTGTTTTTTTCTTGATCTTTAGTTCATCATCAACCAAGGTGGATCTCAAGAGTGGCCTCGAAGAATGTGCTGTGGCATTGAACTTATTTCTAAGCAACAAATTTACAGATGCCTTAGAATTGCTTCGCCCCTGGTAATTTACTTTGTGTCTTTTAGATAAAATATCTTTCAGATGTTTCTGATGATTCTTTGATGTCATGCTTGTAAATTAATTTATCTGTTCCCATCTGAATATTGATAAGCTAATTTAGTTCAGACCTCCTTACTTTGGTCACTTTTAAAATTCAGTTTAGAAATCTGAGTTTTCAAATATAATCAGTAGAAAATTCCTGATTGTTTTGCATATTTTAATCTCTCTTGTTCAGATATTGTCATCTTATAAGTAGTTTTATAAGGATTCAATTTTGCTTTCTTCAGTGAAATATTTTTATGTTTGTTCCTTTTAAATATTGAAAAAAAATTCCTTTGAAATGGGGAGGGGAAGAACCAGAATATGCTGATCTCAATGCTAAAAAGAAATTTAAGATAATAAGAATATTACTGGGGTTCTCTATTTGTTCGACAAACAAGTTAAGCAATTTAATTTCAATTAATAGTACCTGTTAAGTCTTCAGATGTGGCAATAAAACCTGTGCTTGCCTGTTTACTCGGTCTTTATCTTGACAATAGTCTTACATTGTGCCCTCAAACACTTGTTTAGATGAAGCTTAGACCTCATATAATAATTTCCTAGAAGTTTACTTTGGCACAAAAGTGGGCAATCTCATTCCTTACTTTGAGTGGTTACTAAGGTGACTGGATTCTGGTCATCTGAATCTTAGAGATTAATTGACCTGCTGAGGAGCTGCTATGGAAATTCTGTTAAGATTTAGAATAGCTGTAGTCGAGGTGGGTCAGCTGTCATTCCACAGGTTAAGAACAAATGATGAAATCGATGGTGAAGCCCTGTAGTCTAAGGAAATCTTTCAGTGTTGTCTTCAATATTTGCCTCACAGTCTCCACCTTGCCTGTCCCGTGCTTTTTTCCCTCTGTCCTTCTCAGTTCCTCAGACTTCTCTGTCTTCTGTCTCTACCTCCTTTTGTCTGCTTGTCTTTCCCTCTCTCTTGGTCTCTCCTGTGTCTTTTCTCAGCCTGCTTGCCTGTCTTCTTTGGGTTTTTGAATGTTTTTATTGATGAGCCATAGTTGTACCTATTTTTGGAGTACATGTGATAATTCCTTACCTGTATACAATGTCCAATGATCATCAGGGTAATTGGGTTATCCATCACCTCAAACATTTATCTTTTCTTAGTGTCAGGAACATTTATAATTATTCTCTTCTAGCTGTTTTGAAATAACAATAAATTATTGTTAATTATAATTATGAAATACTAGAAGTTATTTCTTCCATTTAACTGTATTTTTGTACCCATTATCTCCTTTGATTTTTATTCAAACAAGTCTTTCTCTGCCACTGACACACAGCTGATTATGACATGGGATGAAAATAAACGATTTAGTGTTGTATTCAGTCAGGTTCATCTCTGAGTTTTATACATGTTTCACTGTTTAAATGGCTTAGGCCTGTAATCCCAGCACTTTGGGAGGCTGAGGCAGGCGGATCACCTGAGGTCGAGAGTTCGAGACCAGCCTGACCAACAGGGAGAAACCCTGACTCTACTAAAAATACAAAAAATTAGCCGGGCATGGTGGCGCATGCCTGTAATCCCAGCTACTCGAGAGGCTGAGGCAGGAGAACCACTTGAACCCAGGAGGCAGAGGTTGCGGTGAGCCGAGATCGTGCCATTGCACTTCAGCCTGGGCAACAAGAGCAAAACTCTGTCTCAAAAATAAATAAATAAATAACTAATACTTTTCCCTCATTTGAAATAATTTTTTTTTCTTCTTGAAAGAGCTTCCAGTTAAAAATGTGAGGTTTGAAACCACAATTAATGATTAACTTTGAGCTGCTCTGATTCCTTGTGGTTCTTTTGAACAGATAGTGAGTGCCCTCAATGTTCTGGACAAACTGCAAATTACCAAAGGATGTTTAGACTATTTCCGTGGGGGCAAAAAATAATGTGGCTTGTATTTGTTTTGCATGGCAGCAGGCTGTTATGCATTAATATTTAAATTAAAAACAAAACCATGCATTAGCATTTTAAACCTTATAAATAATTAATACAGCTTAAAAAGTTTTGAGAAAATAAATGATGTTCTCATAGCCCGAGAATCTGGATGTCTGCCATCCGTTAGGAGTCATTAACATCCTTAAGAATCCTGAAGCAGTTCTCACTGTAACTTGATGATTTGAAATATCAAGAACTTTAATCAGGAATTTCAGATAATGGGATTAGACTAAATATAAGGTCTGACATCTACTTTGGTCATGGCTTTTGTGACCAGCCTAACTTGTTCCAAAATCTTGTTTGCTCTTGGCCTTTGGCTGGAGAGGAGAGGAATTACTTTAAATGAGCCTTTATTTTTGAAAAAACATATCGGAATCTCTCTGTCAAAAAATACATTTCCAGCGGCCTTTATTTTAGCACTTATTTCAGAGCCAAAGGTGGTAGTATGCTGCCCTCTTTTCAACTGAAGACAGTGGGTTTGCTTGGAATCTGCCTGCAGGCTGCCCTCTTGTGTTGAAATAGGGAAATGCATATTGTCCCCTTCAACCTGGAACATTTTGTTCTGCCTGTGTGGGTTTACATTGGAAAGTCCTTGGTACTTGAGTTTTTAAGAGGTTACTTTTCACCACCTATATAATTTTGGTGATTATGGTGAAGAAATAAAGGTTACTGTGCAAGTCAGAACATGCATTTCCTAGGATTTCTTATGATCAGTATTTCCATTGAATTAAAATGTCTGAATTCCATGTTTTCTCCCCAGGGCTAAGGAGAGTATGTACCATGCTCTGGGCTACAGTACCATTGTGGTGTTGCAGGCTGTCCTGACCTTCGAGCAACAGGACATCCAAAATGGCATTTCTGCCATGAAGGACGCTTTACAAACCTGCCAAAAGTATGACAAGTCATTCAATACCTGAGATGTGACTGCAAACTTTTATGCCTTTGTGACAAAAATAATGTCATTTGCCTGACCAAGAGCTCTGTGTTTGAAATTGGCCACAGTTACAGAAAAGAAATTCAGCCTTGAAGCTGAAGGATTCCCATTTGGCATCTATATATTCCGCTTTTCTTTTTGATAACCTGGGGTCTGAGCTACAGAGATCTGGGAGGGGGGGGATTTCTGTGGGATTAGCAGCAAGCATCTCTCAAGGTAGATGACATTAGGTACTGCACGCCAAACCAAGCCACGCAAGGAATGTTTTTGTTTTAAGTGGGAGATGCAAATTCATGAGGGAATGTTTTATTTGTTTAAGAAGGACCTCTTTTTGAACACTTTTGTTTGGTGAAAATGAGATAGAGTTTTAGTTTTATTTTAAGCTTTACCCTGTGTGTATAGGAAGACCCTATCAAAATTTTTTTTCAAGGCAAAAGTAATTTTGATATCTTTTAAAAAATGATAAATGTTTCACAGCATGGGAGATGCTTGGTTTGTAGACATTTAGGAATATTCAAGAATCCAGGAATGGCTGGCTGCGGCACCCTGAGCAATGGGAGGAAATGACTGCTGTTGCTGTCAATTGCTTGATGTGCCGCTGGGACTAGGGCAGAAGGTTCATGATCAGAAGGTTAACATGGGTGAAATTGCATCCTGATATGATGGTGTTGTAAGCTCCTCAAATGAAAAGAGCTTCCAAATATTGCACTTTAACTTCATTTTTCACCTGTGGAGAATTTTACACAAATCCTGATTTTAGTTATCAGGATAAGGGAAGGTACTTTGGAGGTTAGTTTTCACTGGCGTGTGTGGGTTTCCCCACGTGGTGTTCAGTAACACAGACTGAGTTCCCGCAAGTGGCTAGCCAGTGCTGAGTGTAGAGTGTTGGAAAAGGATGATCTGTGTCCTACAGACTTCAGGGTTTAGAGTTTCAGCTTTTTGACTCTTTGGTGTGATAGTGACTGAAATGAATGGCAAATGAAAATGAGCTTAGCCTGATTTTTTTTTTTCTATTTTCTATCTCCCTTTTTATTTACTCGATGTAGATACAGGAAAAAATACACAGTTGTAGAATCTTTCTCAAGTCTTCTTTCTAGAGGATCCCTGGAGCAACTGAGTGAAGGTAAAAGTCATTTAAAAGATCACTTTTTTCCTTGATTTTAAAAGTTAAAAAATGATCATCTCATAAAATTCCATACTGAAGTGTATAAAGTCAATGGAATGTCTTTTTCTCTTCCCTATCATACTGACCTTCCAAAAGTAACCATTGTTAATAGTTCATTGTAAAGCCTTTTCTGCGTACATACTCAAATACATAAATAAGGTACACATAGGGTTTTTGTTGTCGCTCATGGATTTTTTTTTTTTTTTTTTTTTTTTTTTTGCAAGCATAGAATCACATAATAGGTGTAAATTTGACATTGACACTTTCCCAGGTCATTACATGTGAGTGTTTAACAGCTGTGTGATATTCCACAGGATTGATGTATTGTGCACCAAAATTGGATTTTCTCTATTGTTTTTATTTTTTCACTGTTACAAATAATGGTGTCCTAGAATCCGTATACATACAGATTCATGCATCTTGAAAAGTTATTTCATAAGATAGATTTCTAAAAGTGGAATAACCGAGACTGGCTGTTTGAAAAGTTACAATATTTATAGGTATTCCCAGTTTTTTTCTCCAAAGGTATAGGTCAGTTTATATTCTTACCATTCATCTGTGAGAATTTCAGTTTTCCACAAGCTATTAAAAATTTTTTTCAAGGTGAAAGTAATTTTGATATCTTTTAAAAAATGATGTTTCACAGTATGGAAGATGCGTGGTTTGTGTACATTTAGGAATATTCAGGAATCCAGGAAAGGTTGGCTGCGGCACCCTGATCAGATGGATGGGAGGAAATGACGGCTGTTGCTGTAAATTGCTTGATGTGCCCCCTGGGACTAGGGCAGAAGTTTCATGATCAGTTCTGTCTTTACAGTGTTACACTCTAGTCCAGAATAGTTTACAAGAAAGAAGCATCTAGATATTCCTGTAGAAGGAAAAAAAAATGTCCTTCAAATGTGATCATTGTAGAATAAAGCTTTTGCCATCCCAGGAGAATCTGTGCCTGTATTGTCATTGTCAAATGTGTTATCTGAAGAGGTGACACAAAATACTAGAATATACCATACTAGAAAACACAAAATACAAAGCTTCTAGAAGTAGCTTTGGTTGATTAGAGCAAGAGCAGTTCTGGATACTGCTGTCAGAGTAGTTTCTAATGGTCAAGTATATGTCAGACTTATTTTTGAGGGTGTTTTATTAGGAAGTTTTGTTTATTTTGTTAGATGAGTATTATCAGCTTGTTTTGGACTTCGGAGAACTTGGGAACATGTGCACGATGTGAAGCTAGAGTATTGATTATAGGAGAGGAATTATGACACATTTCACATCTTTGGGACTTATTTCAAAGGGGCATGATGTTGACCCCAAAACCATGGTCAAACAGAATGGTATTTCATTGGTCACACTAGGCAGCTGAAACCTACATCTTTTTTTCCAGAAACTGACCCCCAACTATTTGTAAGAATTTATTTATCCCCTCGACTTCGGATAGAATGTGTCTACATATCTTCCGTCTTTGGGCTACTTATGTAAATTAGTTCCATTAGATCTAAAGTTCACTAAAGTGGGTTAATAAGAAATCAAATAGGCCCAAAAGAAATTGAACTCTTTTGTTGTATTCTCCTTTCTGTTACCCTCTCTATGGCTTCCCTCTAGTGGCCAGCTACTCAGGAGGCTGAGTGAGGCAGGAGAGTTGCTTGAACCCCGGAGGCAGAGGTTGCAGTGAGCCGAGATCACGCCACTGTACTCCAGCCTGGACAACAGAGTGATACTCTGTCTCAAAAATAATAATAATAATTTGAAAAATAAGATGCTCCTTTTTTTTTTTCTTGAGACAGAATCTTGCTCTGTCACCCAGGCTGGAGGGCAGTGGCACAATCTCAGCTCACTGCAAGCAAGCTCAGCCTCCCGGGTTCACGCCATTCTCCTGCCTCAGCCTCCCGAGTAGCTGGGATTACAGGTGCCTGCCACCACGCCCAGCTAATTTTTTGTATTTTTAGTAGAGACAGAGTTTCACCATGTTAGCCAGGATGGTCTCAATCTCCTGACCTCATGATCCGCCTGCCTCGGGCCTCCCAAAGTCCTGGGATTACAGGCATGAGCCACCGCACCCAGCTGATGATCCTCCATTTTTAAAAAGCGTTCTGTATGTGCTATATACTGTCCTTGTTGCTTTTCTTAACATTCACCTATCTAACCTCCTCGTTATAGACTTGGAACTGATCAGAGTTATAAACAAATGGCCAGGATTCCCCACCTAGCAGAGTAGGGTTAACTGATCATTTGCCTTTCCCTAAGCCACAACTCTTTCCACCATAACCCACACTTTCTCCTTTAGGGAAGTAGAGAAGGGCACGAAATGTGTCATATATGGATAAAGGAAATATTGAATTATTTCAGTTAGTCATCTTGAAAATAGATGATACTGTGTTGTTATGTTTTTATAATGTCTTTGAACAATGGCGCTTTAGGAAATCTACAATAAAGTAGAAAATTACTTTTTACTAATTATAAAAAGTAGTCTGGGCATGGTGGCTTGTGCCTGTAATCCCAGCTACTCAGGAGGCTAAGGTGAGAGGATCCCTTGAGCCCAGGAGGCGGAGTGTATTAGTCCATTTTCATACTATTATAAAGAACTGCCCAGGACCGGGTAATTTATAAAGGAAAGAGGTTTAATTGACTCATAGTTCTCCATGGCTGGGGAGACCTCAGGAAACTTAAAATCATGGCAGAAGGAGAAGAGGAAGCAAGGCACCTTCTTCACAAGGCAGCAGGAAGGAGAAGGGCATGTAGGAGGAACTGTCAAACACTTACAAAACCACCTGGTCTTGTGAGAACTCACTCACTGTCATGAGAACAGCATGGAAGAAACCAGCCCCATGATCCAAACATCTCCCACCAGGTCCCACCCTTGATACGTAGGGATTATGGGGATTACAATTCAAGATGAGATTTGGGTGGGGACGCAAAGCCTAACCATATCACAGAGGTTGCAGTAAGCGCAGATCATGCCACTGTACTCTCCTCTGGGTGACAGAGCAAGTCCCTGTTTCTACATAAATAAAAATAAAGTAATATAAACTAAAATAAACTAATACACTTGTGAGTATAGCCTATTATGAAATACAGGTTTATTTAGACTTTCATATCTAAAGGCAATGCTTAGCTAACATTATTTCAGTGCATCATGAAGATATTTACTCCTGTGGACTATGGAATTTACAATTAAGAGATATTCTGGTAGTTACCCACTCATAAGTACCTAATGGCTAATTTTGAGAACTAAAGAACTATGCAGTGTAAATCAAACACAGTGAAAGAGTAAGACTTTTATAAATTAAGCTGTATTTTATTCTTAGTGAGTGTGGCTGTCAACTGCAACCCAAACAGACTTTGTGTTCAAGGGAGCATGTCAAAACATTGTAGCTTTAGTGTGTGATTTGTTTTTCCTCTTGGTAATTTTCATTTACATCCTTGAGTGTCTGGTTGTCTACAGGAGTGAGTATATTTCATTAAACTTTTCATGGGTTTAACGTGGAACATACTAGTTTTTTTCTCTTGTGGCTGGTGGATTGCCCCAAATGGGTTTCAAATGGCCTTTACAGATATTTATATGCAGTGAGTGCCTAGGATGTGAAAGGGATTTAATATGACAGATACTTATTTGCGGAATGCCAAGTTCAAACTCTCATGCCTTTTCTGTTTGCCTTGATCCCTGTGCTGCTCTTAAATTTGTTCATCTTTCACTTAACCCTGATCTGCCCACCTGTCTGCTCAGATCTCTGAAAGGACTGACTCACTGTTGCCTCCTGAATCAACTGTAGACTCTAACATTCAAGGCCATTTATAATTGAGCTTTGACTTAACCCTTCCAGCCTCATTGCTGTCTCCTCCCTTGACTGGCTTTTCCTGAAGGTGCTCTGGGCTTTCCTTGCTCCCGTTACTGGCCCATTCCCCTCTGCCCCCCACCCACCGCCACCATCACCACCACAGACTTCATCCCCTCTGCATGTACCCCAAGCCAGCAATCTGTATTCCTGAGCAGACTTTCATAGCTAATAATTCCTGATTCCCACTCTGTCACAGAATTACCTAGGAAGAGGATAGTCAGGTGACTGTGTAAAAGTAAGTTACCAGTTGGTATCCCACTGAACACAGCTAGAAAATCACCAGGCACACTTTGAGGAGAGGTGTTCTGAAGGACTGAGACCCTGGCTGTGGGCATGCAGGCTGTAACTCCTCAAGTTTGGTTTGTCGTGACTTTGGCCCCATCTCTCTGTGCGCTGTTAAAGACCTTAGCTGCAGAGGGGCTTCTTTGTAAATTAAACATTTGGAATATGAGCATGGCAGGAACTTGAACCAATTTGTGAGAACCAGTGGGTTGTATGTGTGTATAGGGTGGGGGTGGGGCCTATAAGTGCAAGAAAGTACTTGTTGTCATCTAAGTCTATTAGCAGTAATCCCAATAATACAGAAATACTCTATTTTCAGTCACATTCCACATAAAAATGCTTTCTGAGCTTTTATCAAAAAGCAGTGACATGGATCAAGGGCAGTAATCTCAGTGCACGTAGCTAGCATTGATCCAGTGCTAACTCTGTATCATGAGCTCTGCGTGCAGTATCTCATTTGATCCTTCGGCTGTGAACCAGAGGTGGTGTTAGTGGCCTTTATAAATGAGGAAACCAGCAGAGAGGGGATGAGGTCCTATAGTCAGTACATGGCAGAGCGTTTTTAGCAGCCCAGGCTCTTAAATACCCCAGGCTCATTTACTTAAATATCATGCCAATTTGCATCTCATGGATAGAGCAAGAATCTGCTGCCTCGTATATGGGAAAAAGTAAAGATTTGTCTCTCCATTCTCTGCAAGTATAATGGGTTGTTGGGAAGCTAGGGTATGTGTTTTGGGGTACTCCACAGGCCCCTGCGATGCACAGAGCCCCACCTAACCCCTTTTTGAGAGTACCTTATTCTTGTGCTAGACATCTACATGATCAAATTAGCCTAAAACTGGGATAGTGCTGTCTCTTTTTATATCAGATCTTCACATATGAGGAGTCTTAACATGGCCATGCAGGACGTTTCTTTTTCACTGAGCTCTAGAGAATTGCTGCTTTCTTTTCAGGTAGTTAATGTGTTTGGTTAGTGTCATGGTTACCATATCTTTATAATTTTAGAAGCTAGCATTCATACAGTTAATTTAGTTTTTTTCAACTTTTAAAACTATGTTAAAGTTGTTTTGTTGTTTTTTTTTTTTTTTTGAGACAGAATTTTGCTCTTGTTGCCCAGGCTGGAGTGCAATGGCGCAATCTCAGCTCACCACAACCTCTACCTTGCAGGTTCAAGCGATTCTTCTGCCTCAGCCTCCCAAATAGCTGGGATTACAGGCATGCACCACCACACCTGGCTAATTTTTGTATTTTTGGTGGAGACGGGGTTTCTCCCTGTTGGTCAGGCTGGTCTCTGTCTCCTGACCTCAGGTGATCCACCCACCTTGGCCTCCCAAAGTGCTGGGATTACAGGCATGAACCACTGCGCACAGCCAAAGTTTTATGTTACTAATTAAGTTAAAAAATAAGTGGTTTCCTTTTTTTTTAAAGTGCTTTTAAATGTTAATTTCCCCTTGTGAGCTGAGTTTGGGTCTCTGATACGAAGTGACTGACTCTTCGCAGTTTTGTTTGAATGGGGATGACCTCCCTGAACACTTCACACATTCCAGGAAAATCTTCCTGACAAAGTGAGAACTGGGGTTATCATTCTGCTTTTGTGGAAGCACAAGGGCCATCTAAGTTTTGGGGTCTCTCTTGGGTTAATTTATCTGCCAGTCTTTCCTGAGCATCACAGAGCAATCACTTTGGATGTGGGATTTTACTTAATATGATTTTATTTGTTTTTCATAGAGGAAATGCATGCTGAAATCTGTTATGCCGAGTGTCTCCTACAGAAAGCTGCACTCACGTTTGTGCAGGTAATGAATATTTGGCTTAGAATTTATATTGGCTGGGAAGACAGCCAGTGCTGCATAGAAAAATGTGGTGCATTCTATGTCAAAGCTTCAGTTCTTTTGACTTAGAGTTGTAATGGCAAATATTTGTTATTCTGATAAACTTTGACTGAAAAAAGATGCTAGAGAGCTTTGTTCCTCCTCTACTGTACTTAAGAATCTATTTCAAATTGCACTCCACTGGGAATCATTGCCCTTTAAAGACTGTGCCTTTAAAGAAACTTTAGGCCAGGCGCGGTGGCTCATGTCTGTAATCCCAGCACTTTGGGAGGCTGAGGTGGGCGGATCACTTGAGGACGAGCCTGGCCAACATGGTGAAACCCCGTCTCTACTAAAAATACAAAAAAAAAAAAAAAAAAAATTAGCCGGGCGTGGTGGCGCATGCCTGTAATCCCAGCTACCCAGGAGGCTGAGGCAGGAAAATCACTTGAACCTGGGAGGTGGAGATTGCAGCAAGCTGAGGTCGCATCACTGCATTCCAGCTTGGGTGACAGAGCAAGACTCCGCCTCAAAAACAAAAAAGAAACTTTAAAGAAACTGCTTTGCAACTGCCACATCTAATTTTAAAATGCATCTGTGTGGAAACCGGGACAATATTCCGCTTTGTACTTTCTACTGGTAGAGGCCGCACATGGGAGTGGCCTGGGCAGAGGAAGTGCCCCGTTTTACACCACTTGCCTCAGTGAAGTTCAGTTAGGCATACATGGAAAGTTCATGTACACTTCAAATTTTATTTTTCCCCTTCTTTCTGTATTCTAATTCCCCTTTCTTTTATTTCTTCCTTTGGAAAAACAGTTTTTTAAAAGTCACTAAACAATTAATCCTTTTCTTATGAGGCATTTTAATTTCACCTCTGGGAATTGGTACAGTCAGTACCTTGCCTATTTCTGTATCTTCCAATGCTTCTCTAAAACATAAATCTTCACATAATGGCTTCATGGGTGGCAGTGATGGCTACAGTGAGAGTGAGGTGGAGTAGAGAGTGTAAGAAATCAGAAAGAAATTCAACTGTAAAATGGAAAATCTTCCTCAATCACAATCTTTTTTTTTGTGTGGAGGGGTGTGGGGTGGTTAGAGCCTCATTCTGTCACCCAGGCTGGGGTGCAGTGGTGCGATCTTGGCTCACTGCAACGTCTGCCTCCCGGGTTCAAGCAGTTCTTCTGTCTCAGTCCCCCGAGTAGCTGGGATTACAGGTGTGCACCACCACACCTGGCTAATTTTTGTATTTTCAGTAGAGACAGGTTTTCACCATATTGGTCAGGCTGGTCTCAAATTCCTGACCTCAGGTGTTCCACCCATTTCAGCCTCCTGAAGTGCTGGGATTATAGACGTGAGCCACCATGCCTGGCCACAATCTTAAATTATTTGGCAGTTGCTTCTTTCTTTTCATGGAGGTTTACCTCTTAGGTTGGATTCTGGTTTAATAAAACGGAATCACTGCAGCCCATGACCCTGTTTCCTAAAACATAGACGTTACAAAGGTTGGTTGATAACAACAGTCTTACTGCCTCAGTAAGCATCGTAATGATAGTCATGGAGGCCCAAGTTTTTTTCTGTTTTCCAAACAGGAATTTGGCAATCAAATCTGGGATTTGGAGGCTTATTTTATGTTTGCGGACTTGAAATTAAAGAGATATCCATATTTGTGCCCTCTTCCTCATGCCTCCCACCCAATCATTTTTATATTCATGCTGCTTTAGCCTTTTAAAGATTGTGCAACTCCATCTCTTTCTGTCATTGTTCTAGAAGAGGTGCTTATCCACTCTTTGCTGAACTGTACAGCAACCTAGTGACTCTCCCTCTCTAATTTCTTTTACCTTTAGCTCATTCCCTATTCTGCAGTTGAGGGTTGAGTACCCTCTTAAAAACGAGTCTCTGACTTGGTCACTTCTCTGCTTCAGCATTCAGTAGCTCTTACTGACTGTGGCAGTATTCTGTATCAGAATATCACAAATGAGGGGGGTACTTTTTCAAACAAAACTGGTACCTCCTCTCTATGTTCCCTTACCGCCCCCGCCCCTGCCAACACACACACACCTTACAGGTGTCCTTGGATGCCACTGACAGGGTTGCATATTGAGTAGCATGGCTGGAGGTAGCTTTCTTAACTCCTTGGTCATTCTCTTTGCAATAGATTCTTCAGCAGTGTGGAATTACATATGCACACATGGCCAAACCCATCATGATCCTGAATGCCGCCCCATCTTTCCACTTGAGTTTTACTTTGCTTACAAAGTTCACATCTGCTTTGCCTTTCTATACCTGGCCAGTTTCTAATTATTTTTGTGCTTAAAGCACCAATGCTTCCAGGAGGGATTTCTGGCCCTCTCCATGCTACTACTTTGTGTTCTCATGACATCCTGTGCATGATCCCATCCCCGTGCATGACTCCGTCCCTATGCCTGGCTCCTTCTCCACACATGACGCCTTCCCTTAACATACTGTATTACTTTCATCTGTTTTTGCATTTGGGTGCCTGGTATAAAATAGGCATTAAATTTAAGTTTGATGAATCCTGAAATGAAATATGGTTTTTTTTTTTCGAGGCATATTTCAAGCTAATTTAAGAAATTCTTTTCTGGTTGGTATTGGATCTTATGTAATCATAAGATTCCTTAAATTAAGAAGATAAACATTGAATTTCATATCTATTGATTCTTATAATAATTAGAACAATAAATATTGAAGCAATTAATGAAATTAGTAAATGAAAGTCAGTTTTTCTTTTGCTACAGGAGGATGCTTAAGTATACAAGAAATACATAGCAGAGCATTTTCTTTTTTCTTTTTTTGAGATGGAGTCTCGCTGTGTCACCAGGCTGGAGTTCAGTGGTACGATCTCGGCTCACTGCGGCCTCCGCCTCCCAGATTCAAGTGATTCTCCTGCCTCAGCCTCCCGAGTAGCTGGGACTACAGGCACCCGCCACCATGCCTGGCTAATTTTTATATTTTTAGTAGAGATGGGGTTTCACCATGTTGGCCAGGATGGTCTCGATCTCTTGACCTCGTGATCCACCCGCCTCGGCCTCCCAAAGGGATTACAGGTGTGAGCCACTGCGCCCGGCCAGAGCATCTTTCTGATATCAATAGACTAGAAAAACTTTCTCTCTGGAAATGCAGAACATAGGACTGTCTCCACTAGCACCATCTATTAGAGTAACTTCCTTCAAGTGGTTATTTGATGTAATTTATTGAGAGATTGGCTTAGAATCCTAGAATGCTGACCCCGAAAACGCCATTCATCCAGGCCAACTGCCTCAATTTTATGGTCAATGACCATCAGATAAACAGAACTGAAGTGGTTTTGTTTTCCTAAAACAAAATTGCATAGTAGTGACAGCCACTTCAGAAACTAGACCAGTTATTTTGGGCCTGGAAATGTGTATGTGTAAAATTCGCAACATTTAATAGACTCTGACTGCTAAAGTACTCTGTGAAAGAAGGACCATTGTCCCCTTTACTGGGTGTAATGTACTGGAAGGTTTGGCCTTAGAGCAGATTGTAAAGTCGTCCAGTTTAGATTCTGTTAAACCCACAAGAAAATAGCTCGGTAGATGTCGATGTTTATTAAAATAATTTGGACCACATATGGGCCCTAATTGGTGAGGATTACCTCCTTAGTAATATAAAATAATTGAAGGATTTTACAAGCATTTTCTTTTTGTTGTCCTCTAATGTAGAAGAAAAAGTACCCCAAAAACTTTTAAATGTAAAGCAAGAGTATGCGTTAATTTCAAAATTATGTCCTCAAAATGCTTTTTTTTGTTTGTTTTTGTTTTTCTAATCACATAAACACACAACTGTGGGGACAATTTAAACTTGTTTGCTAAATAATCTAATTTTTTAACTGAATTATTTTCAGGATGAAAATATGATCAACTTCATCAAAGGTGGACTCAAAATTAGAACAAGTTATCAAATATATAAGTAAGTTAAAAAGTAAGATGTGATTTTAAATAATTCTGTGCTGTATACTCCTTTGTTCTTCACAGTTCTCCTAAATTAAGTTTGACTAGGAGATTTTATTTCGTGTTGGTAAAAATGAATTTGATTTTTTGCTGAGTGTGTATTCAGTGTTATTGGACAACAGAATTTAAGTTTAAATACAATTTTAAGAGCAAATTAGTTGAAAATAAAGCTACTGACATAATTTCTGATTAGATAATTTGAGTTTCTCCTTTGAACAATTTATAAATTTAAAATTATAGTAATATCTTTGGTTCAGATTCCAGAGCAGCACTGCCCAGTAGAACTTTCTGCAGTAAATGGAAATGTTCACCTGAGGTGACCATAGTGTTGTTCGTATCCTTATCGATTTTTTTTTTTGGTATGGAGTCTCGCTCTGTCACCCAGGCTAGAGTGCAGTGGTGCGATCTTGGCTCACTGCAAGCTCCACCTCCCAGGTTCACGCCATTCTCCTGCCTCAGCCTCCTGAGTAGCTGGGACTACAGGTGCCTGCCACCACGCTCAGCTAATTTTTTGTAATTTTAGTAGAGACAGGGTTTCACTATGTTAGCCAGGTTGGTCTCGATCTCCTGACCTCGTGATCTGCCTGCTTCGGCCTCCCAGAGTGCTGGGATTACAGGCATGAGCCACTGCGTCTGGCCATCCTTATTGATTTTTATCCAGTTGTCTTTTATTTACTCAGTGTTAAAGTCTCTAAGTTTGAATCTGGAATCATCTCTTTCTTCCTTTAGTTCTGTCAGTGTTTGCCTCATATATTTAGGAGCTCTGTTGTCAGGCTCATATAATATGTATTTATAATTGTTCTGTCTTCCTAATGAATTAACCTTTTCTTCATCTTGAAATGTCTCTATTTAACTCTGGTAATATTCCTTGTCTTGAAATCTGTTATGTCTAATATTCATATAGGCACTCATGCTTTTTATAATTAGTCTTTGCATGGTATATATTCTTTTACTTTAAACCTATTTTTGTTTTCATATTTAAATTGTATTTTTAAATATTTAAATTGTATTTCTTGTAGATGCACATAGTTGGGCAGTTGATATGTTTGCACTTATTACTGCCATTTTGCTTTTTCTCTTTGCCTCATCTGTTCTCTCACCCTTTTTTCCTGTCTTCTTTTGCTCTAATAATATTTTTAAAACTGTTGTTCTCTTAGCTGTACTCTCTTTTTTTGTGTGTGGTTGCTCTAGTGTTTTTAATATTCTTTTTAACTTATTACAGTCAACTTAGAGTTAATATTGTAATAGCACTGGACATATATTGTAAGAACTTTGCATAAGTGTAATTTCATTTACCACATTTTGTCCTTTATGCTTTTTTTTTTTTGAGACCGAGTCTTGCTCTGTTGTCCAGGCTGGAGTGCAGTGGTGCGATCTCAGCTCACTGCAACCTCTGCCTCATGAGTTCAAGCAATTCTTCTGTCTCAGCCTCCCGAGCAGCTGGGACTACAGGCATGTATCATCACGGCCAGTTATTTTTGTATTTTTAGTAGAGATGGAGCTTCACCATATTGGCCAGGCTGGTCTCGAACTCCTGACCTCATGATCCACCTGCCTCAGTCTCCCAAAGTGCTGGGATTACAGGTGTGAGCCACTGCTCCTGACCCTTTATGCTATTTTTATGATGTATAGCACACTTACATATATTATAAACCCTACAATACAGTGTCAGACTTTCCCTTTAATCAGTTATATGCTGTAGTCTTCTCTCTTTACCCATATTCTTACCATTTTTCATATTCTTATCCAAAATGGTAAATATATTTCCTGTTTACTTTCAGACTGAGGAACTTCCTTTAACATTTCTTATGGGTGTCAGCTTTTAACAAATTCTGTTTTCATTTATCTTAAAATATATTTACTTTTTACTTTTTCTTTTCAAGGTTATTTTTGCTAACTACAGTATTCTGAGTCGATGGGTTTTTCCTTCTTTCAGCTCTTTAAAACTGGCTTCCCATTGTAATAAAGCCTCTGTTACTCAGTTTCCATTTGTATTATTGTTCTCCTATATATAATGTGTCTTCTCTTCTGGCTTTTTTGAAGACTGACTCGTTTGTATCTTTAGGTCTCAGTAGTTTGACTAGGATGTGCCTAAGTGTGGTTTTGAGAAATTTGTGGTCGTAATTTTTCAAACTTTTTTTCTGCCCCATTCTTTCTTTCTTCTCTCCTGAGACTCCTACTTTGTTCCCTTCATTTTCCACTGTGTGAAAATATGTTTCAAATGTATATTTTATATTTTTCCAGAATTTATGATAGTTATTTGTGGGAAAGTTAATCCGACATAAGCTACCCTGCCATTACTGGTAGCAGAACCAAAATTTAGTATTTTAAGAGGTACTTCCATTGAAAATCCTTTTACAAAACTGTGTCTCATTCAAAATCCTGGAAAGGGGTGGTAGATCTTGGGTACCTGACATGCTGTTCTATAGATTTCTTTGTGAAGTATTTTTAGAAAATATAAACAAATGTTAAATTCAATGCTAATTGCTGTTTTAGTCATCAAAACCTAAAAATACTAAAGGAATTAAAATAGGCCTGTAGAGGCAAAGACATACAGTTATACCTCAGAGATATTTTGGGTTCCAGACCACTACAATAAAGTGAATATTGCAGTAAAGTGAGTCACAAACTTTTTAGTTTCCTTGTGCATATAAAAGTTATGGGCCGGGCGCGGTGGTTCACGCCTATGATCCCAGCACTTTGGGAGGCCGAGGCGGGCAGATCACGAGGTCAGGAGATTGAGACCATGGTGAAACTCTGTCTCTACTGAAAATATAAAAAATTAGCTGAGCGCGGTGGCGGGCACTTGTAGTCCCAGCTGCTTCGGAGACTGAGGCAGGAGAATGGCGTGAACCCGGGAGGCGGAGCTTGCAGTGAGCCCAGATCGCGCCACTGCACTCCAGCCTGGGCGACAGAGCGAGACTCTGTCTCAAAAAAAGAAGAAAAAAAATGTTGATACTGTACTGTATTCTATTAAGTCTGCCACTACCCTTATGTCTACCCTAATTGATACACACTTTTTTTGCTAAAAAAATGCTAACAATTATCTGAGCCTTCACCAAGTCATAATGTTTTTATAGGTGGAGGTCTTGCCTCCATGTTGATGGGTGCTGACATTCAGGGTAGTGGTTGCTGAAGGTTGGGGTGGCTATAGCAATTTTTTAAAAAAGGACAACAGTGAAGTTTGCCATACTTATTGACTTTTCCTTTCGTAAAAGATTTTTCTGTAGCATGTAATACTGCTTGATGGCATTTTACCCACAGGAGAACTTCTTTCAGAATTAGAGTCCATGCTCTCAAATCTTGCTGCTGCTTTATCAGCGAAGTTTATTTAATATTACAAATCCTTTGTTGTCATTTCAACAATGTTTATGGCATCTTTACCGGGAGTAGATTTTATCTCAAGAAACTACTTTCTTGCTCATCCATAAGAGGCAACTCCTCATCCATTAAAGTTTCATCATGAGATGGCAGCAGTCAGTCACATCTTCAGGCTCCACTTCTAATTCTAGTTCTCTTGCTGTTTCTAACACCTCTAAGTTACTTTCTCCACCAAAGTCTTGAACCCTTCAAAATGATCATGAATGTTGAAATCTGCTTCTTCCAAACTCCTGTTAATGTGGACATTTTGACTTCCTTCCATGAATCATGAGTGTTCTCTATGACATGTAGAATGATGAATCCTTTTCAGAAGGCTTTCTATTTCCTTTCCCTGGATCCATTAGAGGAATCACTATGGCAGCAATAGCCTTATAAAGTGTGCTTCTTAAATAATAAGACTTGAAAGTCAAAGTTACTCCTTGATCCTTGGGCTGCAGAATGGATGTTGTGTTAGTAGGCATGAAAACAATATAATCCTTGCATACATCTCCTTCAGAACTCTTAGGTGACTAGGTACATTTTCAGAGAGTAATAATACTTTGAAATTTTTATTTTTATTTTTTTTCCCTAAGCAGTGGATCTCAACAGTAGACTGAAAATATTTAGTAAACCATGCTGTAAACAGATGTGTATCATCCAGGCTTTGTTGTTTTAGTTATAGAGCACGGGCAGAGTAGATTTAGGACAATTGCTGAGGGCCTTAGGATATTTGGAATAGTAAATGAACACTGACTTCCATTTAAAGTCACCAGTTCCATTAGCCCCTAACAAGAGTCAGCCTGACCTTTGAAGTTTTGAAGCCAGGCATTGACTTCTCCTCTCTAGATATGAAAGTTCTAGATAGCCTCTTCTTCCAATAGAAGGCCATTTTGTCTACATTGAAAATTTGTTGTTTAGTGCAGCCACCTTCATCAGTGATCTTAGCTAGATATTCTGGATAACTTGCTACTGCTTCTACATAAGCACTTGCTGCTTCACTTTGTACCTTTTTTTTTTTTTTTTTTTTTTTTTTTGGATGAAGTCTTGCTCTCTTGCCCAGGCTGGAGTGCAGTGGCACGATCTCAGCTCACTGCAACCTCTGCCTCCCAGGTTCAAGTGATTCTCCTGCCTCAGCCTCCCGAGTAGCTGAGACTACAGGTATGCACCACCATGCCCTGCTAATTTTTGTATTTTTAGTAGAGACAGTGTTTCACCATGCTTGGCCAGGCTGGTCTGGAACTCCTGACCTCATGATCCGGCCACCCTGGCCACCCAAAGTGCTAAGATTATAGGTGTGAGCCACCGTGCCTGGCTGCACTTTTATGTTATAGAGATGGTGTCTTTCCTTAAATTCATGAACCAACCTCTGTTAGCTTCCAAGTTTTTTTTCTTCAGCTTCCTCACCTCTCTCAGCCTTTATGGAGTTAAAGAGTTAGGGTCTTGTTCTGGATTAGGCTTTGGCTTAAGGGAGTGTTGTGGGCGGTTTGTTCTATCCAGACCACTACAGCTTTCTCCATATCAGCAATAGGGCTGTTTTGTTTTCTTATCACTTGTGCATTCACTGAAGTAGCACTTTTAATTTTCTTCAAGAACTTTTCTTTTGCACTTACAAGTTGACTGTTTGGCACAAGAGGCCTAGCTTTCAGCCTGTCTTGGCTTTTGACATACCTTCCTCACTAAGCTTAATTATTTCTAGTTTTTGATTTCAAGTGAGAGAGGGGCGACTCTTCCTTTCACTTGAACACTGAGAGGCCACTGCAGAGTTACCAACTGGCCTAATTTCAATATTGTTTTGTCTCAGGGGACAGGGAGGCCTGAGGAGAGAGATGGGGGAGCAACCTGTCAGAAGAGCAGTCAGAACACACACAACATTTACTGAGAACTTTCTCTGTCTCATATGGCTGTGGTTCATGGCCCCCTCAAACAGTTACAGTAGCAGTAACATTTAAGGTCTCCCATCAGAGATCACCATTAACAGATGCAATAATAATTTAAAAGTTTGGAAATTTTATGAGAATTACTAAAATGTGACTCTGAAACACAAAGTGAGCACGTATTGTTGGAATGTGCTCGTATATGCTTGCTCAACACAGTGCAATACAGTGAAGTGCAATAAAACAAGGTGTGCCTTTCCATATCAGTGAAATGAACCGCAGGGTTTTTGAAAGAGACAGCATGTGTGTGTGCATACATGGATTTACACACACATACACACACACACACTTACCTGGGAATTCAAAATATACTAAATTCCTTTATATACATAGGCCCTTTCAAAACAGTGAAGAAAGATAGGTACTTTAGGAAGTGTTTTTGGGAAAATTGTTCATTTTATGGAAAAATCATTAAGATGAAAAAAGTCCATGTAAGTTTAATATTAAAAGATTTAAAAAGAATCCTAGCAGGAAACATAAGAAAGTATTTTTATAATTCTTAAATATAAAAGCTTTAAACTTTTTTATTTTTCATTTTTTCACTTTGAAATAATTTGAAAATTTTTACGAAAAATTTCCATATAGCCTTCACTCAGATTTACAAATGTTAATATTCTGCGGAAGCACATTACAATGAATAAAATCAGGACACTGACATGGATACAGTATCAATATTTACTGCATGGCCTTTACTCACATTTCTCCAGTTGTCTCATCAATGCCCTTTTTCTGGCTCAGGATCCAACCTGGGATCCTGGATACTGAGTTTAGCTGTCATGTCTCCTTAGTCTCTTTTCATCCGGAATAGTTCCTCAGTCTTTGTCTTTAATGATGTTGACACTTTAAAAGAATAAACTGGCCAGTTATTTAGTAAAACAACCATCATTGTGGACTTTTCTAACATTTCTTCATGATTAAATTCAGATTATGAATCTATGGCAAAAATACCATAGAAATGATATCATTAGGTACATGATGTCAGTTTCAAAGGCCTTTTAGCCATGGCATAAAATCAGAAATCAGAGGAAATTCATTGAGCTGACTAAATAAGCATGCATCATTTTATTTGGCAAAATATACCATAATGAAAAATAAATGACTCAGGGAAAATGACAGCAGGGGATACTTGTAGGCTGGTGGGCATCTGAATTGACTCTCTAAACCCTTAAATTTTTTGTAAACTGGAAGTTAGGTCTATAGGCTTGCTAGATTCAGATTAAAAATATTTGGCTAGACTGGATCACAGGTGTAGTTGCACATTTTATAATTGCATCACACCAAGTGATACATGATATCTCATTATTCCTTATTATTAAATTTGTCAATTTGATAAGCAATTCCCAGTTATTATCAATTTTTATATTTTTGTCATTGTTTTAGTTTGTATTTCTCTGGTGAAGATTTGCCTTTTGAAGATGATGTGAACAGGCAAGAGAGAAATACGTAGAAAATATAGTGAGAAGTTGGAAAGATGTGCATGGATGGAGCAGGAAGAAAGCAGAGGACAGATGGGGCCATTGTGATGGCCTTTGCTTTGTTGTTTTCAGTCTGTCCTGGTCCCAAGCCCTAATTTATGTGGTCTATTTGAGACGATGGCAGTCACACTGAAGTTCAGATCTTCTTGCCAGTAGCATTTCATTTCCTTGGGCTGCAGTGTGTGCAGTGGTTGAGGAGCTGAGCCCTCTCAAGCAGTCCGCTGTAAGACGCTGCTGGAAGCTGTGGGATGGCAGCCTGTGGTCCTGTGGCTCCTGGCTGGTGCTTGCCAATGGATGAACCCTCTCTTTAAGCCCAGAAACACTGGTTCTGCTAGACACTGTAAAAATGAGCATCTCCTTTTTCCTTGATGATTATTACCTAGTATCCTTAAGAGTAAACTCAGCACAGCATCATCCATTTAAAATTTTGATGGTATTTTAATTAATGACATTTATTTTGCATTATGTAATTGTAAAATGTGATTTAATATTTATTTTCAGAGTCATGGTCAACTTACACTATCACTTTTTTTTCTTCAATCCAGAGAATGTCTTTCTATCCTGCATGAAATTCAGAAGAACAAACTTCAGCAGGAATTCTTCTATGAGTTTGAAGGGGGTGTCAAGCTTGGCACTGGGGCCTTTAATTTGGTAAGGAAATCACTATATAGAAACCAGAACTTTTGCAGAAGAACCGAAGGTTATCTGTGCCTTCTCCACTGCATTTGAATCTTATCCTTACCCTCTCCCTGGGTTGGTTGACAAACAGCTAGAGTGGGATCAGTTTTCCGGCACTGTGACCCAGTGTGTTATGAAGTTCCACACATGCTCAGAGTAGCTTTGGATTGTAAAATGTAAGGGAAGCCTGTGGCACTCTGAATAGACTAGTAAGATTTTGGTAACAAGGAACAGTGGAATCCATTTCCATTTCCACACTGGAAATATTGTTGCAATGACAGTGACGGCTCTGGAATTGAAAATGTGTGAGGGACCAGTATAACTTGAGGAATGATTTTTGATGATCCCTGAGGAGATGAAGTCTGAGTAGTAATCTGTCAAATTCCAATATGTTATTAAGAGATTTTTAAATTTTGTTGATGGTTCACTGGAATTAGTGAAAAAATAAAGTGGTCAAGAGAAGTATACACATGAGTGTATGTGCCGCTTTGGCCACTTTGCTTACGAACCCGTGGGTGATGATTGGGAAAGAGGCTGACTGGTACCCACAGAATGAACCATCCTATCCAATTGGTTGTTAAAATCCTCTTTTGCTAAGGTCATCTTTTGATGTGTATCCACATGGGAACATTTTCTGCCCATTCAGGAAGATCTGTCCACATACTTCTTCCCCAGACCTCTTTGTCACCAATTTTCCAATCATGTTCTTTCCAAGCCTGTGCCCATCCAACCAAACCATTGTCTACATCCCCTGAATCAGCATATATAATTGCACATCTGGCCATTTTTCCTTTCAAGCATAGTGCATAACCAGGTGCACTGCCCAAGGTTCTGCCCACTGGAAGGATATTCCCTCACCACTGTCCTTCAGGAATATCCCAGAGAGAAGTGGTAGTGCTGCAGCTGTCCACTTCTGGGTGGTGTCTACACATCTCACAGACTATGACTGATTTTTGCTTCTGGGAAAGGAAACTAAGAAACCTTGCCTGGACATGGGCTTTGAGGGGTTGCCTTCTTGTCACTTCTTCACACCACATCAAAGTTCCCACTATTCTATAGAGAACACTGGAAAGACCAGCCTTAAAACAAAACTTTTTAAAGGTTCATTGTTATAGCTAAATAAAATTTATTCATAAATGGTTGTTACAATATGTGGTCACAGAAATATCTGGTGGTTAAAACTTGTTTCCAATTTTTCACATTATTGAAGCATTAAAACTGTAAGTTAAATTTGTTTGCAGTTAGAAACACTAACACATAAGTACACTGTATATTTTTTTTTTTACAGATGCTGTCCCTTTTACCAGCAAGGATTATCAGACTACTGGAATTTATTGGATTTTCTGGAAATAGGGTATAAATTGAATTTTATCTTAATTTTGACAGGGAAGATTAAATATTATTTATTGAATATGAGGGCAATGCAACATGTCTGCATAACTGGCTTGATAATTATTGGCAATTTGTTTGTGGGACAGAAAATAAGCCTTTGATTCTTGATCACATTTTTCAGGAGTTAGATGTAGTTTTTCTGTTGAAAGTTAAAAATGTTCACCCTTGTTATCCAAATTGTTGGATGAAAAATTATGTGTTGCTAATATTGCTTCTTGCTAGATCTTATTACTCTCACATGCTTTCCTATGCTTTCTTAATAGTTAAGCAGCCCCAGAGTTGCCCTCCTTAAGATGAAGAAATTAGCTGGATTTCCCTGTCTAATATTTTATGATTTTCATGAATCAAATACGATGCAGAATTTTGGATTTCCATGTGTTTCCATAAGTTTCTTTATAAAACTAAATGACGAAATATGTTTTTCATGAGTTTTATTTATTAAATGCACGTTTATGGTTTGGTAGTGAATATATCACTTTTATTAACCATGACACTCAATATGCTATTATAAGAGTTGCCTCATGGCAAAAAGTGTCGATTAAAAGAGCAGGTTTTGAGAAATGTGTGAGAGCAAGTATAAGCAGCTATCGCTTTTTTTCCTGTTTTTTCTACTGTCCATGTTCTTCATGAGCTATGGTGTATTTATGGTGATTCCTTCATAATGTTGTCCATTCTGACTCTGTGTTTCATGGTCACCCTTCTCCTTAACTGTTCACCTTCTACCTGATTCCTTCAGAGGCTCTGAATTGCCTCTCGAATAAAGTTCAAACTATTAATGGCTTCAGGGACCCCATGGTCTGATTCTAGCCAGTGTTTCCAGCCATGCTACCCATATTCCTCACATTCCCAGTACTCCTGTTAAACTGGGCAATCGGTTGTTCCCCAGCAAGTCCTGTGCTTTTGTTTCCATGCTTTTGCTTTTCTCTGTTTTGGATATCCTCCCCAACTGGCTTCCTCCCAAATAATTGTCTCTCAAGAGCTCTTCCATCCACTAGGGTTGAGATAAATGCCACCTGTCTCACAAAGCTGTCCCTCATACTCCCTCAGTGAGGCTCAAGCATTCCTGACTTTCAGAATTGTCTATTTAGCCTTCTTACAATCTCTCTCCATATTCTAATAAGGTCATTGTGTTCACATACTGTCTTCTCTATTTAATAGAAAGATCTTTGAAGACATAGACCATGTTTGTTCATACCCGCCATAGTGCCTTGCACTTAAATCCTCAATATGTTTTAGTGAATATTTCTATCAGAGAAATAGAGTATCTCCATGAAATGAACACAGCCCTTTTCTCTCTTTAGAATCACATGATATAAAAGGATGTATGAGAGTGTCTTATGCAAGTTTAATAAGGTTCATTTCTAGGTAGGCATTACCACCATTCTAGTTCCTTTAAAAAGAAACCCCACCTTCATGGAGGATAAGGATATATGAACTAGCATTTTCAAGTTTCTGAATAGGCCAGGCATGGTTGCTCACGCCTGTAATCCCAGCACTTTGGGAGGCTGAGGTGGGTGGATCGCTTGAGCCCACGAGTTCGAGAGCAGCCTGGGTAACATGTTAAAATCCTGTCTCTACAAAAAATACAAAAATTAACTGGCCGTGGTGGTACACACCTGTAGTCACAGCTACTCGGGAGGCTGTGGTGGGAGGATCACCTGAGTCTGGAGAGGTGGGGGATGCAGTGAGCCATGATTGTGCCACTGTACTCCAACCTGGGTGACAGAATGAGACTCTGTCTCAAAATCAAAGAGTTTCTAAATAGAAAGTCAAATACCACGTTTTCACTTATAAATGGGAGCTAGACAATGGTACATATGGACATACAAAGTGGAATAATAGACATTGGAGGCCACCAAAGGTGGGAGGGGTGGGGAAGAGAGGGTTGAAAAATTACCTGTTGGGTATGATGTTCATTCCTGGGGTGATGGGTACACGAAAAGCCCAGACTTCACCACAGCATAATATGTGAAATCTGTACTTGTAACCCCTTGATATATAAAAATGTTTAAAAAGTTTCTGAATATGATTTTTCAGCCATGTTCTCTTTCTAAAATGCATTTAATTCCCATAGGAGTTGGGCCTCCTGCAGTTACGTGAAGGTGCCTCAGGAAAAAGCATGAGGTCTGCACTGTGCTGCTTAACCATCTTAGCTTTTCATACTTACATCTCCCTAATACTTGGTAAGATCTGGATTAGATTGTTTCATTGAACATTGATTATCTTGGCCAGACATGGTGGGTTACACCTGTAATCCCAGCTACTTGGGAGGCTGAGGTGGGAGGATCGGTTGAACCCAGGAGTTTGAGGCTGCAGTGAGCTATGATCACGTCACTGCACTGGATCCAGCTTGGGGAACAGAGTGAGATCCTGTCTCCAAATTAAAAAACAAAACAAAAAGTTGATTATTTTTAATCTGAGTAAGGAAAAATTTAGAAAGATCAACAAAAGCTAGTAGTTCATATCTGCTTACTTATTTTTTTTTTTTTTTGAATAAAGGTAGAAAATAGTGTCCTTTGTCATAGTGACATTTAGCAGAGGGAGTAGGGTAGTTTCTTTCATTAAATAATTTTCATCTGTTCTCAGCTAAAATTTCTTTATTAAGGTGATCTATTTTATTGTATATTAGATTTCTTTGCAGAAAATGAAATTTTGGGCTAAATAAGTTAATATTGCTATTAAAACCAGAAATTCCAGTTAGGAATCTGAGACAGCCACCTGCATTCTTAAGAATTAGTGTGTCCCAGAGTTTCTTAAACTAAAGTTATAGGTGAGACTGGTCTTTATTTTATTCCCCAGTTATAAAAATGATGAAATAATAGTTTTTATCTTTTCCATGAGTAGGTCTTTACTGTATGTTAATGAAGTTTGGAGAGTTAGTTATAAATATCCCCATGTCTTATGAAGACTGAGGTTTTTCCTGTTACATTTCTAGGTACAGGAGAAGTGAATGTTGCCGAAGCCGAGCGTCTCCTGGCACCCTTCCTCCAGCAGTTTCCAAATGTACGCTTAGTATTTCAAAGTGTATGTTTCAACCATAATTAATCAGCCAGTGTTGACTGTTGAGCAGTGTGTTTTCTTCCTTGCTCTGCAGGGCTCACTCGTGTTGTTTTATCATGCCCGAATAGAGCTGCTGAAAGGGAATCTTGAAGAGGTAATTTATTAGGTGGGAGTTATTTGGGGGAGTTGTCTGTATGGTGGAGCTGTGACCTACTCATTCAACAAAAGTAAATTTAGCTATATGGACTAGACAAAAATAAAGAAAAAAACAATATAAGTAAAAAGCCAAAACTTTAACTTGTATATGCATTCTATTGTATAAAATCTATGCAGTGGATTACTGAATGTAGTCTACATTTATACACAGAGTACATTAAGCACTTTAGGGTAGTATATACCAAATAATAAGCTCAGGGATTTTCAAGAAACTGTGACTGTTACCAATTTCTGCATTATACACTGACTTTGGACTCTAGCCCCTGCATGACATGCAAGTCTACTACATGTGGGCTCCTTATCAAAGGAAATTATTCACCAATTCCCTCAAAAAAGGAAGTGTCGGGGTCAGAAGTAGAAAAGTAAGGAGCCATTTATGGATATACATTCACAAACCATTTTTTCCACACAAATGGGATCAAACATGTATTTTTCTGTGATTGGAACCTCCCCACTCCCACATTACAAAGTGTCAAGGCCCCTCACAAAATTAAGGAAAGAGACAGAACTTAACTGTATCATTGCCTGTAAGGAAAAGAACATAACATCATATTGAGAGGTTGAATGAGTGATAATTTTGTCCTTTTTGTACTAAGTGTTTTATGTATTTTCCCATTAGGTTATTATTTCCTTGTCTAATATCTGGATGATCAACTTCATGCAATTGATTTACAGGCACAAGAAGTATTTCGAAAATGTGTTTCAGTTCAAGAAGAATGGAAACAGTTTCACCATCTCTGCTACTGGGAGCTAATGTGGATTAATGTTTTCCAACAAAACTGGATGCAGGCATATTACTATTCAGATCTGCTTTGCAAAGAGAGTAAATGGTCCAAGGTAAAGTGCAATACTTTCATTAATGTCATCTGTTTGCTAATATGTGGCCAGGAAGATTTTCATTCAGGACTGTTTGCTCGGTAGTATGGTGCCACAGTGTTTTCTCAACTTAGAGATTCACAAAAGGAGGAAATGTGCCTTAAGTACCCACTGTTTATAGGTACTGTCCTCAGCATTACATGCTTTAAAAGCCATCCACAGTTCTTTTCAGGGCCAAATACGATGGCCCATACCTATAATCCCAGCCCTTTGGGAGGCTAAGGCAGGAAGATGGCTTGAGGCCAGGAGTTTGATACTAGCCAGGGCAACATAGTGTGATTTTTATCTCTGCAAAAAATAAAAACCTTAGCCAGGCATGGTGGTACATGTCTAGAGTCCCTTCTGTGTGGGAGGCTGAGGCAGGAGGATAGCTTGAGTCGAACAGTTTGAGGCTACAGTGAGCTGTGATCACACCACTGCACTCCAGCCTGGTGACAGTGTGAGACCCTGTCCCAAACAATAACAAAGTTATTTGAAACGTGAGGTTTTATCTCTGAAAATGAGCTGGACTTATGAAGTTATGAAACCTTAATCATCTTGATAATTTTTGTAGACTTCCCAGTGCCCTGATGCCCAGGCTTTTCGGGATAATGAAAATTAATTCTGATCCACTTGTGAGAAGTTGGGGGGCAATGAGATAATTTTTTCTTGTTCATTCTGTCCACTTTCTCACCTATGAATGCTGTAGTTGTGTAATAGAAAAATGGTCTAAATTATTGATAATTGAAAAGAGTTGTTCTCATTTTGAACAGGGATTATAAGATTTCATTTCCTCTGATTTCTTTAATGCCTGTTAATATTATATCTGGAAGGCTTGTAGGTCATTTCTGATTTGAAAGGTAGAAATGTTATGTACCTAGGAATGTTCTGTAATAAGCTCCTTCTTTTTCTCAAGGCAACTTATGTGTTCTTGAAAGCGGCAATTTTGAGTATGCTTCCAGAGGAGGATGTAGTAGCAACTAATGAGAATGTGGTAACTTTATTCAGGTATGTGAGACACTATTTCTATAACAAAGGCCCTGAGGGTATAAAGGGGCAAAATCTCATCTCTACTAAAAATACAAAAAATTAGCTGGGCATGGTGGCATGTGCTTGTAGTCCCAGCTACTTGGGAAGCTTAGGTGGGAGGATTGCTTGAGCCTGGGAGGTAGAGGTTGCAGTGAGCTGAAATAACGCCACTGCACTGCAGCCTGGGCGACAGGCAGAGTGAGACCCTGTCTCCAAAAAAAAAAAAACTGACCATGTATATTAACTGTAGCATCAACATCAACATTAGTAAAAGCCATGGCATGATAAATGTCACCTTTTACTGTAAAGTTCATTTCCTCATTTTACAGAAACAACAATTAATGGAAGGGAGTATTAAGATACATTAAAATCTTTTAAATCTCCTTCTCTTTCTTCCAATGCAGATTAAGTTTTTTCCGTATCAAAACAATTTATGTGAAAGATGTAATCATTTTTATTTTCAGAAGAAAGCTTTGAGATCTTGCTCTGTCGTAGCTTCTAGGTTGTTGGGATAATGAGAGTTCTAACAATGAATGGTCTCTTCATAAAAATGCTGTTACCTTTCAACTACAAGGGTTCCTGTCTGAGACATGCTTCTGACTCCTTCCTCTGACCCCCACCTCACATTTCCACTATCTTTTCCACTGATGGTAATGAACATAGTGATGGTACACTAGTTTAAAATCCATAGCTCCATATTGTGCCCACAAGTAACCTAACACAAGCTTACCTCATATTGGAGGCATGTTATTTCATGTTAATTTTTCTTTCAGTGAAGTAATTATTTCCTTGAATTCTTTCTCAGCAACTTGTTTGATGCATTCATAGAATTTTGCATAAGAAAGTGCTCGCAGGAACATGTAGTTTCCCCATCTTACTCTCATTTTTACCTGCTTATGAATTTCATAATTGGAATTCTGTAGAATTTTTAAAAGGAAGTTTGTAAACAGGGTACATGTCCTAAGCTGATTATTTCCTAAACAACCTGTACCTGGGAAACATTTTCTTAAATTATGTATTAACTGATGGCTATCTTTTGGGCCATATTATTTTATAGATCTGTGTAATACTTGCAAGTAAGAATAGGCGATATACCAGTGTACCGTCTTCTGTCTCCCTGAGTATCCACAACATAAGTAAATACTTTGGACTCTTTCCTGCTTACTCGTAGAAATCGCCAATTGTATACCTAGATTTCCTGGACTGTGTTTGATAGATTTAAGACATTAGCTAAGTTGACTGGAAAGAAATATGTGTCAGTCAGTGGTTTTCAATCTTGAGTGTGCCTCAGAATCACCTGGAGGGCTTATCAAACTCTAGATTGCTCTGCCCCAGCCCTGGAGTTGCTGATTCAGTAGGTCTAGAGTAGGGCCTGAAAATTGGCATTTCAAATAGGTTCCCAGGTGATGCTGCTGCTGGTGGTCTGTGAAGTTCACTGTGAAAACCACAGGTATAAATAACGTATGTGTTGCCATGACCTTTCTCTGGGGTGGGCTGGGGCTCTTCACAGACAGGTGGACAGCTTGAAGCAGAGAATTGCCGGGAAATCTCTCCCTACTGAGAAGTTTGCTGTGAGGAAGGCTCGGCGTTACTCCGCCTCCTTGCCTGCACCTGTGAAGCTCATCTTACCTGCCCTGGTATCTGCTTTTATTTTATTTACTTTTCCTGTACTAGAAGTAAATTATCTAGTCACAGCAGCAGGGAGCATATCTAAATTTGGTTATGAAGTTTAGCTCACCTAAAAACCATTTTAAGTTTTGTTGTAAGTTGAACATTTCTAAATAAGTAATTAATAAATAAAAACTGTAGCTAATGGTTTTTGACTAGTTAGTATGCTCCAGGCATTAGGATAAAGGCTACTAAAAACATATCATTTAATTCTTACAACTTTTTGAGTATAGTTAACTCTTAACCACATTTTTTAGATAAAGAAATTTAGATAGAAGTTGATTCCATTGAAGTTGAGTTGAATTCTGATGCAAGCCACATTATGTAATTTTACCTTTTCTAATAGCCACATTAAAAAAGTAAGAGGAAATAGAAATGAATTTCAAGAATATATTTTGTTTAACCCAGTATATGCAAAATTTTGTCATTTCAACATGTAATTAGTAGAAGCTTATCCATGAGATACATACATACTTTCATATTGAACCAAGTCTTAAAAATTTAGTGTGTCTTTTACACTTAGAGGACATCTTAGTTTGGGCTAGCCGTATTTCCAGTGCTCAAGAGCCATAACTGGCTGCTGGCTATTGTATTCTAGCTCCAGCTCACATTCTTAAACTTTATGCCATTTAGGCAAGGCTTCTGTGAAAAACACAATTTCAACTTAAATTTTCTTAATGAAGTCTTCTTCAAAAAATACTGAATATATCAAGTTACTATGACTCTTCTGGTGCTTTAGTGTTTATATAGATCGTCAGCACAGGAAAGCTGTTCATTGTAAGGCGATGTCTGTGGTCCTCCACTCTGGGGTTTCCTGAGTTTTTTGTTTTTTGTTTTTTTTTAATTCAGAGTTTATTTCATTATTCCTCTTTGACAGTTATTTAGAGTTTTCCAGTTTTTGTAATTACACACTACAATGAATATCCTCTTTTTGTATGTGTGCATATAATTATCTGTGAAGGATTTTTTTTAAATGGAATTCCTGGTTCAAGGGAATATATACGTTTAATATTTTGGTAGATAGTGTTAAATTTCCCTCAAAAAAAGCTCTACCAATTTAAATAAAATACTGACAGTATTTTGCCATTTTAATTTGCATTTCCTTGTGGATGTGGTGGAGCATCTTTTCATGTGTTTCTTCATTTTTATTTTTTCTTTTGTGAATTGTTGTTCATATTCTTCCCTAATTTTTCATTGGGTTGTTGATTGTTTTCTTAGTGACTTATGGGAGCCCTTTATACATCCTATGAGAAAGAACAATGCAGCCTCGCCCTGACGGGTCAGATAGGAGTTAGCCGGCGCCTAGCACCTAGGTCCAGGTGTTTCCTACCTAACACAAACTCAGAGAACTTCAGCATCACACAGGGACATTCTGTGATTGTGATGGAGCAAGACAAAAATATGACCACTCCGTAATCATGTCTGAGCACAAATAAAAACCAGAACACTGCGTAAATCCCACAAATAACCAAACATCTCCCTCTCCCAGCTCACATGAGAGCCTTCTGCTGCTTAACCAGTTAGAGCCTTAGCTCCATGCCTGATTCATTTTTATTAGGTGATTTGCACTGGGAAGGTTTTTCTGTCTCACAGAACTCTACTGAAAATTTTCTAGACTGTCGTCATTCTTTGCCTTAGTACTTAGATACCAGTGTGTATGTAATTGTATCCTGCTTTGACTGTTAAGAACCATAGGGAAGATTAACTCACTGCACTTCTTTCTCCGGGTCTATGGATGTAGAATGTATAGGAAATGGGCTTGAAATGTTAGTACTGGGATTTTTATTTTTATTTTTTTTGTACCTAGGAATTTTACCAAAAGCCTGTTTTTCATAAAGTCTCAGATATGAGCTTGCCTCCTTCTGATAAAAAGATTTCATCCATAAAAGGAATTTTTAAAAGATCATCGTCAATTTAAAAAATACTCTGTTATTGAAATGACCTCTTACTTTATTAGCAACAAGAAATTGTTACATGTAGAACTGAATGAAGGTAGAGTGTCATGATCTTAGTTTTGGGTGCCATAAGGTAAAGATACCTTTGCCGCCCTTCTACTTGAATGTGTTGTTCTCATTTCCACTACTTCCTGCTAAGAGGCTTTTCAAGCAGTGTTTTTATCATATCTTAAAATTTATTTCCAAGAAGATACTAATTACCCTGCTTACTTCATACCCTTAAAAATATTAACTGCACTATCAGGAACATTAGAAAAATATTTTCAAGCAAAAGCACATTTGCTTTTGATCCAAAAAAATTCTCATCTGGTAGCCCATTAAATATAATATGTAATGAGAAATCATTAGTTTACATTTTAGGAGCTGTCATTCAGCCATATGGCTTTTAAATGAATACGTTTTCTGCATATTGGATTACATTACTGGACCACGTTTCTAATGGTATAAAAGATCCTAAGCCCAGTAAAATATTCCAATGTTTATATCCAGTGATATTCTTGGAAACATTTTATGTAAACAACTGGCAGACACTTAAAAATATTTTTCTTTACTTAAAAGTAATAACAAAAGTTTACATTAAACAGAATTATTCACGGTATCGGTTTAAAATATTTATTTCTGTATCTGTATTCTATTACCTTCCAAAAGAATTAAATGCTTGTAGATATTTAATAAATATTTGTTATATGAATGAGTAAATTAAATTTTCGGTAAAAACATATATACTGAATTACTTCACAGTATAAAAGGCAAAAACAAAGGAAAATTATCTGTAAATATTGTCTTGAGGTTCCTAGAAACCAAGGCAAAACACATGAACATTGTTTGGGGATCATAAAGGACATTGAATAACTTCATATAACTGCAAATGGTTTTCATTTTTCCTCATTAGGAAATGATGTATGTCTGGAATGGTTTTTCAATAGTGAGCAAAAGAAAAGACCTTTCTGAAAATCTGTTGGTAACTGTTGAAAAAGCTGAGGCAGCTTTACAAAGTCAAAGTAAGTATACACAGTAATACAAAGTAAGCACCGAGGAGCCTTTGTCTCTGCTCAGACAGACCCCTGTCCTGTGTTTTCCCTGTGCACATCTGCCTACATTAATTTGTATACATCACAAGGACAAAGAGCTTGAGTTGCAGGGGTCTGGGTGAGGAATGACATACACTGCAGCTGCATGAACCTTGGAAACATCTTGCTAAGGGAAAAAGGCCAGTTGTAAAAGACCACACATTATATGATTCCCTTTACACGATAGTCAGAATAGACAAATCTATAAAGACAGACCGCAGATGAGTGGTTGCCTAGGGATGGAGGATGGAAAGATGGAGGATGGAAGGGGTTATGATAGCTTTTTGGGGAGGGAGGTGATGACAGTGTTCTACAGTCGACTGTGGTGATGGCTGTACAACTCTTGTAAATATGCTAAAAACCGTTGAGTGGTATATTCTTAATAGGTGAATTGTATGGTATATGAACTGTATCTTAAAACTGTGACAAAAAAGATGAAGGGAGAAAGCCCAGCATTGGAATTTTAGAGCAGCACAAGGAAACATGCACTTCTCTCTGGGTTGAGTTTGCTGCGACTCTTTCTATTCCTCCTCATTGCTGTCTAACCGTTAGTGTGTTTCTGCAGACACAGGGAATAGTTTTCAAGGTGAAATGTTATCACAATTTATTCTACCTATTACATTTGGTTGTGCTAGAGGCCACACTTCAGTTTACTGGAAGCAGCTGATGTGATAAAAGGAAAATCAGAATCAGGCAGTCTGGGCTTATAGTCCAGCTCTGCAGCCATCGGACTTTGGGTAACACCTCTGTTTTCTTGTGAAGTGGGAGGAGTGTTGGACCAGATGCTATCCAAAGTTGTTTCCTTGCCCTGACATTTTTTGATTCTGTATTTTTAAGAGGGGTAAACAATGCCATAAGTGATAGCCTGTGTTATATTTCTTTTCAATGCCAAGTCACTTAGGTATTATCCCAAGAGAAATGGTCTTTTGTAATATTCTAACCACATAAGTAAAATGAGAACTTCTGTGATGATAAACATGATAAAGGGCATAGAAATTCAGGAATGGTGGGGAAAAATTTTAACAGTTACCTCATTTTTCTTAACTGGAAAAAGACGGGCACTCCAGGAGCCCAGCTCCTATTTGAGCAAGCTCTTCACCGCCCCCAGCCCCCCATTTGTTGGGGGCAAAATTCGAGGGGAAATATATTTTATCAGACTATGCCAGTAAAATGCAGTGGAAATGTAGAAAACCGAGTCACTCCCCTCCACCCATTCCTTTTTCTCTTAATGACATGCTGAGATGATAGGCTTTAGAGATATTTAAGCAGGGCAGGAGGGAGCTGAGACAGACAGACATGCCATACTTACCCACAGTTTTGGCTTTGTGTGTCTCTCTCTGGGTGAAATAATTAGTTCGTTTTCTGAAGATCACCTTTGCCAGATATTGCATGTGAAACTTATGACCTCTTCTAGGAGTCATTTTATGCAAGAAGATTATCTCCTGCTCTCCTTGCCACCTTGAACTGTTAGGACAGTTTAGTAATTAAGCTCCTATCCTTCAGAGCAGGGAAGAAAAAGTCCATAACTGGAAAATGGAGAGAAGTTGGAAAATGGAGAGAAGTTGTAAACCCGAGGTTACATCATCGTCCACCCCATCCCCCACCCCCATTATTAGAAACTGGCTGTGTATTGGCTTCTCCTAGCTTTGCAAGTGTGTCTGAAGTAAAAGATGGTAGAGGATACAACTGATCTTCTACTCTGCAATGCTCTGGCCGTAGTTGTTAAATGCTGGCTGCTGATCCAAAAGATAGAACTTTGAAGACAGAACAGAATTTGGTGACGTCCCTGGAGTCGGCATTTGGTATTAATTCCAATAGTATTTCATTTGAAATCTTAACTACATTCAGCATGTAACCAGAAGTTCCACTTTGACTAATTTGCTTAATGAAATTATATAGCAAACATTATGAGAGTTATGTAAAAGGGAAAGTGATACTGACTTTATGATTTTTTACTTTCTAAATCTTTTTTCAGATTTTTCTCTTGGGGGCATTTCAGCTAGCTTCTAAAAATTTCAGCATAGATACTTTTTGTAGTTTGGGGTTCTAACTTCCCTATTTCTCAGCCTATCTACCATAAAAGTTCAGCAGATCTTTTGTGATAAAATTGTGCTCTAGTAGCTTTATCATGTAATTTTCTTTGAATGTTAAATGGAAACATATTACATGTGTGTTATGTGTTGAAATGTTCATCTATGAACACATTCATGAGGTTGAAAATCATGACAAAGCATTTATACTTCAAGGGAAAATAATCATCTGCTAGATAATGGTTTGTAGTCGGAGGAAATAATGATTTTGCCATCTGAGATTTTTGGAGGAATACGGTATTTTTGAACCCACCTGCCATATGCCTAACTCAAGTTCATCATAGAAGTTACATGCAGCTTTTTAACTTCCCATGATGTTATGTCTGTTCCTCAACAAAATCATCATTCACACAGCACCAGAATGTTGTCATAACACAAACTGTCGATACAATGCTACAGGAAACTCAGTAGAATGCACAAAAATGATACTACAAGCTAGCATCCAATATGGACCCTTTGGTTTTGGTTCTAGGTCCTAAAAGATATTACTTCTTGAATGTCTATTTTAACATGCATAATTAAAAGCAATGGATAGAATTTTAGTTTGGTAGAAAAATGATTCTAATTAATAATAGAAAAGGTAATGTGTTATGGATACCTGTATTTTCTGGGTGAATGACCTATCAGAGCTTGAAAGTTAGAGGTGAATATTCAGTTTTCAGCACCTAGAAGTAACCCCCTCTGGTTGGTTAAGTAGCATCGTTAATCTCCATAGACAAGTGGTTTACCATCTAAACTGCCAGCATGTGTTAATGATGATTTCTGAGGTTTGTGCTGAAAGCAGGAGGATTTCAATAGGAGCGACTCCCAAGGCCTCGTGTGTTCCCTTTACTGCCGTCCTTTCTACTGTCACAGCCTGAAATGTGTAAATTGTCAGTCTGTCTTGGAATAATGTACTTGCCTGTAACTTGCAAGAAAATTTCAAAAGTGTAAATGTGGAATGACTACCTTTGTCAGATAGATGTCACACATAATATGGTTCCTTCTGTTTAACAGACATTTGCCTTGGGCTGTAGAATGCAGAGAGCATTTTCAAAAGGGAAAAAGTGGTGAAAAAATCCTTGACATTTTCCTCAAGCAGTTAGAAGTTTGTGGAGATTTTAGGTGTCTTTCATGTACTTCAGAACCATTTTGTTTAATCTTATGGCATAATTTCCCCCAAAAAGAACACAACCTGGGAGAATTGATAAGTAGTAAACATAATGATCTGGAGAGGGTATTCTACTTCCTGAATTTTTAGTGGGGATATGGCCATCTGCTTCTCCATATGGAAGTGTTATCCACTGCTGTATTGAAGCCAACACAGAAGCCAAACAACAGGAGGAGGCAGCCTTCTTGTTCCTCATGGCTTTACCTTTGATAGGATTAATAAAACTCTTACTTTATTTAGAGTTCAGATTTCTGGTTGTGTTATCTAAGGTCACAAAGCTCAGAGTGTGACCACCTGAAGAATATTTTAAAGTGGATAGAGTGAACTCCTTAATAAAGTGGTATTCTTTTATAGTAAATTCAGCATTGTAGGAATGTATGTATGTATCAGATGAGGTCTTGCTCTTTCACTCAGACTGCAGTGCAGTGATGCCATCATAGCTCACTGCAGCCTCGAACTGCTGGGCTCAAGTGATCTTCCTGCCTCAGTCTCTGAGTAGCTGGGACTACAGGCGCATGCCATCATGCCCAGTAATTAAAAAAACTTTTTTTGTACAGATGGGGTCTCATTGTATTGCCCAGGCTGATCCTGAACTCCTGGGCTCAAGTGAGCCTCCCACCTTGACCTCCCAAAGCATTGGGACTACAGATGGGAACCACTGTGCCCAGCTCTTTTCATTTAAAATAATTTCATTGTATTTTATTTAGTGAGGCATAACAAATGCTAAAAAATATTTTCCTTATTTTTAAATGATCCTTCTGAAACTTTATTCTTTCTCTTAAGATCTTAAAAAGTATTTTTATTTGTGTGTTTCGTTTGTATGTTTTTTGTTTTAAGATTTTCACAGCTTCTCTGTGGATGACGAGTGCTTAGTGAAATTACTTAAAGGATGTTGCCTCAAGAACTTACAGCGGCCCTTGCAAGCTGAACTATGTTACAATCATGTTGTGGAAAGGTAAGACCAAACAATAAAACCAACCCAAGTGCAAATTGTGGTTTCTGGGGAATTGCTGTGAGAAAGTGATACAAAATGCTTTTATCTCTTACTGCTAAACTCTTACTTGGTGTTACCAGAAAGAAAATCCAGTAGTGTTTTGTTGTTGCTTTTGTTCCTCGTGAACAAAGTTATGGTCTAGGTGGAACATGGCTTTATGTATTTCTACTTGGTGTTTAAAGATGACTCACAAAAACTGTATTTATAGCTCAACTAACAGGTGTCTAGCCAAGCTCTGGCAGCATCATACTGAACCTCTGCTACTCATTAATTTTTTTTTTTTTACATACTTCTTTAGTTTTTTTTTTCCTTTTCTTTTCCTTTTTTTTTCTTTTTTTTTTTTTAAAAGAGACGGGGGACTTTCCTTGCTGCCCAGACTGGAGTACAAGTAGTACAATCATGGCTCACTGCAGCCTGGAACTCCTGGGCTTAAGAGATACTCCCAGCTTAGCCTCTTGAGTAGCTGGGACTGCAAGTGTGTGCTACTATGCCTGGCTTCCGATACTAATTTAATTCATGCATTTGTTTGCCCATTCATTTATTCCACGGATATTTGAGCACCCACTGTGTGCCAGAGACTGTGCTGGATTCTAGGGATTCAGAGCTCAGTAAACAGACTTGCCATCACCGTGATAATGTGGCAGGAAAGAGAGGCATGTGATGAGCACTCTGTCTGTCTTTTGGCAAGGGGCAGTTCTTCTGTATATAATTGAGTTTTGTTCTGGTTTTATTCCACCCCAGTAGCATTGATGATGATGTCCTGCTCCGTTACTAACCATAGAGTTGAATCAAGGTTCTGATCCCTGGCCCTTTTCTCTGTATCACAAAGGCAGTATCTACAGGGGCCAGACACGTAACCTGACTTTATCAGGCCAGCCGAGTGGCAGCAGGAATAGGATTGGTAGACTCTGTAGGTTAGGGTGTTTTCTCTGAAGGGTGTAGCCACACTCCTCAGCTCTATTTGATTATTGCTCTGCACAGTGTGGGCCCAATAGCAATAATCCCTACCATTTTTCATGAAAAGCCTGGAATCTGGATTTTATGTAAAATCACCTGATTTTAAAATATTGCCTCAAATTTTTTGAAAATATTCTGCAAGCCAGAACAACCTCAGCCATAGACTGCTGGTGGACATCCTGTGCTCTGTGTCACGTGCCTTTCCGTCCATGGCCACCTGATCCCCTTCTTCCTGACAGTATTGATGGGAATATAGGAGGACTGGTACCCCTATAAGAATAAAGACAAAATACTTCCCAAATGTACCGTCTTTAGTAATATTCTGTAATTAGTAAACATGTTAAAGAAGTATCCATGGAATTCTATTTTATTAGTGTTTCTATAAGGATTAAAAGGATGATCAAAAGGATGACCTATTGTGCTGTTTTTTTGTCTGTGAATCTCATAGTGAATTGTTTGCTTATGTGCTTTATAATTTTGGATTGTGAACTCACCTTCATTGGAGTTTTATCTTGAGATTACTATGATGCTATATTGAGGAAGAGTTGCTCTACAGTGATTTTGCATTTTATTTCTGTCAGGTACCCTAAAGGTTTTTTCTGCCCAGGGCCTCTTTCATGTTAATTTCATTGCTTACTTCTTGGATCATTTAGACAATATAAATTTGAATTGCACATTCAATGTGGGCATGCCTATTGGTTATTAATTTCCTAAAGAATTGTTTTTTCTTCTTATCGAAAGTGCTGGCCAAGGAGACAACTGTCTTTGTCTTTCTCGTTTGCCAGTGAGTGGGTTTGTTCTAACCTGCCTTTCTCTTAAGGAGTAGTCCTGTGAGGATCCCAGCTTTAAACAGAGGTCTCAGTTTCAGCGCCCTGCTTTCTGAGGGCCTAAGGCCTCATCTCCTGCATGGACATTAGGATACAAAGCCCTTGACTCAGATGGAGGCAGACCACAGGGCTTATTCAACATCATCCCACATATGTAGAGTCTCACTTTTTCAATTCTAGCTGTTTTCGACACTTGAGGGTTTTTCTTATGTTCTGGTGAGCTAAGCTATGCATTTGAAATGGTGTTAGTCATATTTTTTTTTCAGTGCTTCTAGATGTTTTATAACCAGAGAGTTCTCATAATGGTGTTGAAAACAGAAGTGTTGACCATTTCTTTATTGGCCTTTTAAAGCATTATAAGGCTTTAAAATACAAAGGGAGTTGAACCTTAGTTTAAAAATAATACAACTTTCTTATTTCTAAATGGAGTCATTTTCTGAACACATGCATATTCAGAAAGATGATCTTGCCATATCTAGGGTTAATCTTTAAAGATCTGTATGCACTGATTTACCTAAGAGACAGCAATCAACCATCAGTGCTGGGTTTACATTAAGGAATAAAAGATTAATATATGAAAAGAACATTATTTATTGCCATAGTTTAATGAATTCTATAACTATACAATGGCGGCTTTTCTATGATAATAGACTTAGTGCTGCACATATTTTCTGAGGAATGGGAATAATATATATTTAGAAAAATATGTATTTCTTGTTCTGTTAAGATTTACTTGCTTTTCCTCTGCTCTTTCAGTGAAAAGCTACTGAAGTATGACCACTACCTAGTGCCGTTCACTTTGTTTGAATTGGCATCTTTGTATAAAAGCCAGGGGGAAATCGACAAGGCCATAAAGTTCCTAGAAACTGCAAGGTAAGTGTTGAAGGCAGCTTTTCCTTGATCGTTGTGGAGTCAGAGATATCAATATTGCTATAACAACAGCAGTAACATTATATACTTAAAAATTAATAATGTCAAATTAGTAATAATGCTACTTTTGCTAACATTTATGCTTATGGCTTTTGCTGTAATTGTGCTGTTTCCAACCCCCTTACTGCCTCACCCTGTGACTATTTACAGATATGATTATGGGCATCTATTTGAAAGATTTCTAACTTATTTTATTCTGTATCAGGGGCTGGCCAGCTTTTTGTGTAAATGGCTGGAGAGTAAATATTTTTAGATTTATAGCATAAAGTCTCCATTGCAACTACTCCATTATATCAAAAGAAGTCATAGAAGGTAATATGTAAATAAATGGGTGTGTTTCGATTTGGCCCTTGGGTCCTTGTTTGCCAGCCTTCAGTGTATTCAGCCATACCTATTATTTCCTTGAAGAGCCATTGATCTTGTGAAGCTTGCACATCTTACCCAGACTCTCTCTTTTTTCTGTTTATCATGGCAGTTTCAAAGTATTTTTATCATTCTGGTAGGCAATAGCTTTTAGACCATGGATCACATAGGTAAGGCAAAAACCCTGTGGCCTGTTTGCCTTGAACACTTCCTGCAGTAGAGAAAGAATGCCAGACTAGCTCTAGGTCATAAACAGTGATTTGTTCTCAAATTCAGCAATTATTCACTGAGCACCTATTATGTGTCAGACACTAGTAAAGGCTTTAGAGAGACAACTATAAACCAAGCAGGCATTGTTTCTGCTCTGTTAGCTAGAGGGAGATATTAAATAGACAAGAAAAATATCAGGGCCCGGTGCGGTGGCTCACGCCTTTAATCCCAGCACTTTGAGAGGCCGAGGTGGGCAGATCACGAGGTCAGGAGATCGAGACCATCCTGGCTAACATGGTGAAACCCTGTCTCTACTAAAAATACAAAAAATTAGCCAGGCGTAGTGGCGGGCGCCTGTTGTCCCAGCTACTCAGGAGGCAGAGGCAGGAGAATGGCGTGAACCTGGGAGGCGGAGCTTGCAGTGAGTCAAGGTCACGCCGCTGCACTCCAGCCTGGGCGACAGAGCGAGACTCCACCTCAAAAAGAAAAAGAAATCAGTGGTATATGTTTGCTGAGATTTGTAATATGATACATGGTGCCTGGGTGTTACTTCAGGATAGATTGATTCTGAAATATTTCCTTGAGGAAATGATATTGTAGCTGAGAGTTGCATAACTAAAGTCAGTCTTGAGATCAGTCATTAGAAGTCAACCAAGTAGGTAGGGAGCACTCCTGACAGAAGTCACAGTTAATGAACATCACATTGAGGAGGTTGAGCCACTGGGTCAGTGATGATGCTTTTTGCTGTGCTGGGGAGTACTTAGAAGAGTATATTTGGGGAGAGAACAAAACATGCTTCTGTTCAGACCATGATTCTTTAAGATGGCTATTAGGTACTCATATTAGGTAGATGGCAAGTTGGCATTCATACTTAGCATGGAGTTCAGTGGTAAGGTCAGGGCTGAATGTAGAGATTTCAGTCAACAGCACAGAGATAGTGGTATTTAAAGTGATAGCACATGATGAAGTCATTTTGTGAATGTTATATAGCTAGAGAAAGAGGTCTAGCACAATGTCTGGGATATGCCATCTTCTTAGACATTAAACGATAAGATTAAGAAGATTAAGAGAGTTAGGAAGACATCTAGGAAAACCAACCAAATAGTGTTTCAAAAAGAGCATGGTCAGTTATGAGGGCAGCAACTAAGAGCTCAAACAAGGTAAGACCAGAGAAGTGGCTGCTGAATTTGGCAGCATGAGGATCGTTGGTGACTTTGACAAGTGAGGTGAGAAACAAAATGGAGTCAGCTACTTTAGGCAACTCTGTTAGGATGTTTGCTGTGAATAGAACATCGTAATGGGGCAAAAGCTTTAGGGGCATGGTAGAGCCAAGAAGGGCTTCCTTAAAATATTTATATATAGGTGATAGGAGAGCAAGTTGCTTTTAAAGTTAATTTGTTGGGCGTATGACCAATATTTCAGGTGTTAGATATAGATATCTTCAAATCCAGCTATTGGAAAATTATGGATTATAAATCCTGCTCTTCCAGATATTCATTATTTGAATATACAATGTACAATAAGGCAACTTCATAATGATAAAAATAAAAGACTAGTAACTCACTGCTATTTTATTTTATTTTATTTTATTTTTGAGACAGAGTCTCACTCTGTTGCCCAGGCTGGAGTGCAGTGGCCGGATCTCGGCTCACTGCAAGCTCCGCCTCCTGGGTTCACGCCATTCTCCTGCCTCAGCCTCCCGAGTAGCTGGGACTACAGGCGCCCGCCACCTCGCCCGGCTAGTTTTTTTTGTATTTTTTAGTAGAGACAGGGTTTCACCGTGTTAGCCAGGATGGTCTCGATCTCCTGACCTCGTGATCTGCCCGTCTCGGCCTCCGAAAGTGCTGGGATTACAGGCTTGAGCCACTGCGCCCGGCTGTAACTCACTGCTAAAAAGCAATGAAAAGCCTCCACTAACTCAAGACAATACTGATGATTCAAACATAAAGATACTTCCCAGTAATTCCAAGACTGTCATCTGTGCTTTCCCTTTATGTATTAGGAGCTTTGCAAAGTTGCCCACATTGATGGCCAGACAGTTAGGAAAATACTCAATTCCATCCTTTGTAAACTCCAGTAAGATATTGATTTTAGTTTAAGAATAATACATTTACTAACCCTCATCAAGATTACCAGTGAGTAACCCTTACACCTGTTCAAAATGAAGGGCTATAGAAATAAGTGCCACTGTGAAGAAAGCAGTTCTAGTTCATCCATGGGCCAAGGCAGTATGTAAAAGGATTTCAGTTTTCTGATTCTTAACAATTCTGGTAAAAGGAAGTCAACATAAATGCTCTTAGGCAGGTTTTAAATAATCTTTGGATTTCTATGTCCCCCTTTAAAGACATTGGCCTAATTATTATGTAATTATTGGCCAAACCATTGATATTTACCTTTGAGAATTGGAATAAGTAATTTTGATGTCATTAAGTAATTCTGCTGCCTTTGTTGCAGTTGTTTCATTTCAGTTTCTTGAGTGATTGATCATGTGATCATGCTAACCATGTTTATATGCATCTACCTTAAAATTTTCCAATTTAGGCCGGCTGCAGTGGCTCACGCCTGTAATCCCAGCACTTTGGGAGGCTGAGGCAGGCAGATCACGAGGTCAGGAGATCGAGACCATCCTGCCTAACACAGTGAAACCCTGTCTCTACTAAAAATACAAAAAAAATTAGCTGGGCATGGTGGCGGGCACCTATAGTCCCAGCTACTTGGGAGACTGGGGCAGGAGAATGGTGTGAACCCAGGAGGCAGAGCTTGCAGTGAGCCCAGATCGCGCCACTGCACTCCAGCCTGGGCGACAGAGCGATACTCCGTCTCAAAAAAAGAAAAAAGAAAAAAAAAAGAAAAAAAAATTTCCAATTTAAAAAAGGAAGTCTAATTATTTAGGACTAGTTCACAAAATTCATTCAGCCCTTCTCACAACCTTCTTGCTATGTTTATGAATGGTTTGGTAATTAAGCAGAACCTTGCTACTCAAAGTATGACCTTTAGATGACCACCAGGAAGCTTCTAGAAATGCAGATTATTGCAGTTCCCCCAAAACCCCCCAACAGAACCAGAATCTGTTACGCATATTAGAGTTTGAAAGTAAATAAGCAGATCACAGAGAGGAATGGGACAGTGGTGGTACCCTGGTATATAAATAAATTTTGACTATGCAATTTTATTGTTATTGTCTTCAGGAACAACTACAAAGATTACTCCTTGGAGTCCAGACTACACTTCAGAATTCAGGCAGCTCTTCACCTCTGGAGAAAACCTTCCTCAGATTGATCAGAACTTGAAGGATGGAATTTTCCCTCAATTAGCATCGGCAGTCTGCTATAGATTCAACCTTATGTTAAAGTGGAAAAGTGATATTGTGAATAAGAGACAAAAAACTAATTTTATTGTCAATATTTTCTATCATCTGAGAGATTTGCTGTTGGTCTACATAATTTTTTTTCCTATGGAATGGCATTCTATATTATCTAGACAATTCTTATATTTTGCCTCCCCCAAAAGAATTTCATATTAGATTTGAATTGGGGGGTGAAGAAGTCTTTTGAAAGACTTGCAGATGCAATAGTCTAATTAGATTATTTATTTTTTTAATGTGGAAATTGATATTGTTTAGCAAATAGCTTACAAGTTGAGCCAATTTTAGATTTGTGGGTAAACTTTTGAGATATTTTGTTGCCTAGTATTTAAATTTCAGAAGATAAATAAATATCACTTACATTTAAAATAACTTAGCAGTGACCTTCAGAAGACTTCTGAAAAAGACAGTCTGAGAACATGAACACGGATGGGATGTAATGTACTTCGTGGGTTGAAGAGACCTGTATCTATAAAGGATGATCCAGTATTCAGTTAATGGTTTTTTACTCTGATTAAAGGTGGTGACATTTTGGAGAGACTGATTTTGAATGTACTTAAGTCTATTCTAATAACAAAATTCAAAAACCCCTGTGTATCTAATGGGAAGAAAGTGTCATATTTTAGGAATTTTTCTTAACCTTAGCAATGAGAGCCTGAAATACATACATAGATTATTTTTCTTCTAGGAAGTAAAGTTCCTGCTGCTTTAAATGATATGTAAAATATCAATAATTTTTACACTTAAGATGTTGGTAAGACCTAGTTTTCTAATCTCTCCAGCACTGTGATGTTTCCTTGTAGATATCTGGACCTTGCTTAGTCCCTTAGTTGGGAAACAGAATCAGGGCATGGAGCAGAAGAGAACTTGACACCCCGTATGGTCCTGATTCTGCTACCCGTTAGCGGTTAGTGAGGGGACCTTTAGGGAGTCTGCCGTGCCCTGTGTGTCACCATATTTTCTTCTTCTGTGAAATCTGGATTAAAGAACAGACGACTTTTCAAGGTCTCTTTCAGTTTTGTAACTGTGAGTCTATGTATTAGGTATTTATTTTCAACAAATGACTTTAAAATGTTGCATGCAAACCATTCCCACTTGGAGTGTTTTATTTTTCAGTCATCACCATTGTCCCCCATTCCCCACACGTATGTGTTGTGGCATCCAGAGTGAGGAAAGACGGTTCATGAGTCGATGAATCTGGGCCTTATTTCTGTTTCCATTTTGAGGAGTAACTTGTCACAGAAGCCTCTGCAGTTGAACAGAAGGAGCCACATATTGGGAGTCAGGAGTTCATCTCTGTGGGTTAATAGTTCCATGACACGGAGTAAGTAGCTCAGCTTTTCGTGGTTCAGTTGCCCCAGTGTGGATAGCGGCATAGTGTTTGGTACTTGTGAGGGCTTAATTAGATAAAACATGTGATAGCTTTTTGTTAACTGTAAAAGGCTATACAAAAGTATGAGTTATTATAATAATTATGGTTTTTTATGCCCAGATTACAGTATCGGCACAAAAGTATTGGCTGATATTGTGGTCTGTGTTGTAAAATGAAAGAAGCGTAGAAATTCAAATACTTTTCTGTGTATTCATGTGTTTGATGTTGACAGTAGGCTACCCAGGTTAGATGAACTTGCTCCTGCCGTTCCCTGCCACATGGACCTGTATCAAGTAGTTTCCCGGCCACATGGACATGTATCAAGCAGTGTGTGGCTTGTTTTCTTCAAGGTACCAATTCTTGACCGACACTGAGGATGTGTAGCCAATGAAAGATGATTAATAGAACTCAAGTCAGAGTACCACCCCTTCAGATACTATGGTGGTAGATATCAGTGTGTTATTAATAATACAACTTTAGGTACAGACAAAATAGAAAATAAAATTAACTGTCATTATAATTAGTAGTGGAAAATACATTAAAAATTATTTGTGTATAGCTTTGGAAAAAGTTTATAAAGTTCTTAGAAGAGCTTTGGTTACATTATTTTTGAAAGCAGACACTTACATTGTGACTGTGGGTATACTGAGCATATATTCTTACATTGTTACTGGGAGAAGCTGCAAGTCAGTGCTGCAAGTCAGTATAAAAAATTCTCTTGGGTATAAAATGAAAGAATTTTAAGCTTAGAGTGGCCATTTTTATTTTAACTCTGCATTACTAAAAAATATAAAAGAAATTCATCTCCATATAAAAATCTTTTTTGTTATTTATATTTTGTTTTATTTTTATTTCCTATTCTTTATGGAGAGTATATCCAGTGGATCTTTTAGTACTGTAATATCAAAATGCTACAAATATTTGTGTTTCCTGCTATGTTCAAGATATTGTAGTGACACCAACTTCTTGTGGCGTCAGCTAATACTGCATTTTGGAGTTATTAGGGTGTTCTGTGAAGAATGAATACTGGAGTGACAGTTTTATCTAGTTTTTTGAGGGGCATTTATGATGGGGTTGGGTTGCCCATTGTGTCTGACAGTGCAATTCCTGTACTTCCTGGCATAATTGCCTTTTTTTTCCCCTTAACGGAGAGGCAGGGTTCTGATTGGTGCTGTATAAATTTAAGTAACATTGTGCTTTGTAGGAATGATGACGAGGAAGGCAGGATTTCCCCTTGACAATGAATGAAAGGTGAACTGCATCAGCTCTTATCTGGACATATATGTTAATGTTTTCTGTGCTCCTTGATACAAGAAGTTTCCAAGTGATATAGGAAAATTAAGTCCATTGATCCTGTCTTTGTCCTCAGAAGGCAGAGATGAGACAAGTGGATAAAAGCTGTAGGAAGCTGAATTCCAGATTAATCAGTGCCAAGGAAGATTTTTCATTATCGGAAAACCCAACAGTCTAAAATCAATGACCAGTTCTTCTGCAAAGGGGTGAGTTTAAGCAGGGCTAATGTGACTGCCATTTCTGCCTGTCCTAGAAGCTTAGACTAGTTGAACTTTGAGGTCATTCTATGATTCTTCTATTAGGGCTTCAAATCAGTATCGAGTGTGTGAAGAAAAAGTGCTCCTCCCACCATTTCAAATAAAAGTGAATGTTTTCTCTTTCAAAGCTACTATTAGAGGTAGTTGTGATAGACACTAACAATCCCTGGTGTTAATACTTATGATTCCACTCCTTTATTTTATTTTATTTTATTTTAATTTTTATTTTATTTTATTTTGATGGAGTCTCGCTCTGTCACCTAGGCTGGAGTACAGTGGCACAATCTCAGCTCACTGCAAACTCCACCTCCCGAGTTCAGGCCATTCTCCTGCCCAGCCTGTAGCTTTGCTTAGCCAGGATGGCCTCGATCTCCTGACTTCATGATCCACTCCTTTTTAAAGTGAGTCTGGTCTGTCGATCTTCATAAATAGAAGGGTTTTTCCCCCAGCTTGGACATTAAAAATAATTTTTAAAAAGGTCTTTGTGGCCAACTGGAAAATCTTCTGGCATTATCTAATGCTTCATTCATTTTCCCCCCCGTATTTCTGCTTTTTTTTTTTTTTTCCTATTTGTACTCTCCATATTTAGAAATCTGAAATTCAAATACATTTAGTTAAAATAAGTTAATGAAGACTCCAGTGATGTTTTAATACCCTAAGATTTTGTGATTCCTTGGGCCTGGAATGGATCTTAGAAAATTACCTCGTCCTCATGAGCCTGTAAGCCGTATTGTTTTCCCTCAGGCTTGCTCTGTCCGGTACAGTAGCCCCTTGCCACACATGGCTGCGGAGCACCCGAAATGGCTTACAGCCCATGTGGGAATGGTGCTGAATGCTAACAGAGCATTCACTCATACGTGCTGCACTTCTTAAAGGCCTCCCAATAGCCTGCTTTCGGGAATTCTGGCTTTTACTTGCTGTCTACTATGATCACCTGATTTGTGCTTCACATACATATCTGTGAAGTTTGCTTTTTCTATTTAAGTGCCCTTATACTTTCATTTCATCATGTTTATCTGCAGATAATCAGTGTCATTGGCATATTTGAACATTATTCTGCCCTCCCTCCGCCAAACTCCTTATGTACTAGAATAAGAAATTTTATTTTTGAGATTATGATTTTAATTTGATTTTACAGACATTCTTTACTTTTTTACAAAGTACAGTTGTTAGAGTCATAGAAGAGTGATTCACATCTTTGAGAAGATAGATTTCATGATTAATATTTTTTTTTGAGACAGAGTTTCGCTCTTGTTGCCCAGGCTAGAGTGCAATTGTGCGATCTCGGCTCACTGCAACCTCCGCCTTCTGGGTTCAAGCAATTCTCCTGCCCCAGCCTCCCAAGTAGCTGGGATTACAGGCATGTGCCACCATGCCCAGCTAATTTTGTATATTTAGTAGAGATGGCGTTTCTCCATGTTGGTCAGTCTGGTCTCGAATTCCTGACTTCAGGTGATCTGCCCGCCTCGGCCTCCCAAAGTGCTGGGATTACAGGTATGAGCCACCGTGCCTGGCCCAATATTTTCTAAGATAAAATTATTCTGAGAAATCTAGTGAAACCTTTTCAATTGCTTTGTTATTAATGTTTCAACATTGACTCTGTCAACTAGGTCAATAATACTATTTAAAGGTTTTTAGAGGCTGGCCATGGTGACTCATGCCTGTAATCCCAACACTTGGGAAGCCAAAGTGGGAGGATCACTTGGGACCAGGGGTTTGACGCGAACCTGGGCAATATAGTGAGACCCTGTCTTTACCAAAAGGAAAAAAAATTAGCGGCCGGGCGCGGTGGCTCAAGCCTGTAATCCCAGCACTTTGGGAGGCCGAGACGGGCGGATCACGAGGTCAGGAGATCGAACCATCCTGGCCTAACCCATGAAACCGTCTCTCTAAAAGATACAAAACTTAGCGAGCGAGGTGCGGGCCCTGCTAAGTCCCCGCTACTCAGGGAGGCTGGGCAAGCGAGAATGGCCGTAAACCCCGGGAGGGGAGCTTGCAGTGAGCTGAGATCCGGCTGCACTCCAGCCTGGGTGAACCGAGCGAGACCTCCGTCTCTCGGAAAAAAAAAAACAAAAAAAAAAAAAAAATTAGCTGTGCATGATGGAGTACACTAGTAGTACTAGCTACTGGGGAAACTTAGGTGGGATAATCACTTGAGCCCAGGAGTTTGAGGCTACAGTGAGCTAAGATCCATGCCACTGCACTCCAACCCAGGTGAAGAGTGAGACCCTATCTCAAAAAGAAGAAAAAAGGAAAAAAAAAAAAAATATATATATATACTAATTATCTACTATAACAAAAAAATAAGATTTGTAGATACATGTTACCCACTTAGAGAATAATTTATTTTTGAATGTGTATGATACCTAAGTGATATGCATATATATAATTAAGACATTTTTAATCTCTTTAGATATTTCTTCATAAGATACTTGTATCTATAGATAGCTATATACAGAACAACTTACAAATAATAAATAGACATTGTTTTATACAGTTCTTTCCAAAGAAATGCAGGATTTTTCTCCAAATCCTCCCTCCCCGAGTCCAGTTACTTACATATTTTTGTCTTTAAGTGTTAGATTGCTTGTTTCTACTGCCTACTGTTGGTAGTTTTGTCTTTTATACATTTGCTGTTAGATTTAGTTACTTTGAAATGTTGAACTTGAAATGTAATGAAAAGGGCACATGAGAATTCATCATCAGGGAAGATATCTTTTATGTTGAGCAGTTGCTATCTGATCTTGACAGACTCTCCTCTTAGAGGACTGTTGAAGTCCATTCTAGTCATTTTGTAACTTAATAACTGCAGAAAGAAATGATGCAAGGACTGTTTAGTGAACTGAGATGGCTGAGCAGGTTCTTGGCCTGAATTATTGAGAGGAGATAGGTGGATCTAGCTTCAGAGGAAGTCTATGCCCCATTCCCTTCTGCATACAATGTACCCATGACATGTGTTTAGCATAGTAATACTGTAACAGGACATTGCATGGAGAAATCAAAGCAGCTGGCTTACTGTATTTAACTAAAAAGAATGCCTACAGATTGGATATTTAATAGGGAAAATCAGGGCACTTTAATAACAAATTTCATTATGTAAAACTTGTTGAATATTAACATACGATACACCTTGTATGTTAATGCCATAGTTTTTAGAAACACTAATTTAAACAACGAATTTAAGAGATGCTGGCATATCCCAGTGACACCTTCAGTTTTATTGCTGATTAATATTTTCTAGTAAATTAGTTTTAATTATTGGTAGTCTGTTGGGCACCATTTGGGAAAGAAATAAATTGGTCTCAGTGTAGCAGACTTATAGCCAAAAAATTTGAAAAAAGAATGAGTATAAGAAAGAATATTACTTATTTCATTTTTAAAGGAATTGTATTATTGTGAAGTGCTGCATGGTTGATATAGTTTGGTTGTGTGTCTACTCAAATCTCTTATTGAATTGTAGTTCCCATAATCCCCATGTGTCCTGGGAGGGACCCAGTGGGAGGTGACTGAATCATGGGAGCAGTTTCCCCCATGCTGTTCTCATGATAGTGAGTTCTCACAAGATTTGATGGTTTTATAAGGGGCTTTACCCCCTTTGCTCAGCACTTCTCTTTCCTAC